TTTATGATTGAGGAGGGCAGATAAACACTTCACTTGATAGACCCATAAAACATCTAAACAAGTAGTGCTTGGCTTTGGATATTTGGAAATCCACACGTTGAAATCGAAACGCGACTAAAGGTCACGGCTTTTTCTGTGAACGGTGGTTCGTGACTCGGACGGAATTCCCACCTATTTAAAATCCAGGTTTCAGAATTTTCAGAAAGATTTAATTTGAAATGTTATAAACATAGACTCGGTGGGGATCGAACCCAAACCCAACCACTCTTTGATTACTACCATACATTCCTACCATTTCACTCACTTGGTACGCAAACACAGATCACTAGGTCCTGAATTCGAATCGCAGCTCTACAATTTATTTCTTCTCGTACCATTGTTATCTCCCCCTATACATCGATCGTCGACATCCATAATCATTACTAAATTCTTGGAATAGCGTCTAAGCACAAAAACCCTTTCTCCTATAAGAGAAGAGATGTGCACAGAAGTGGGACATACATAGCTTTTAATGACACTAACGTTACATAATTATGCAGTAAAACTAATTAGAAAACAAACGTGACTTCTAAAACATTAACGAGGCTTTTGCGCAGGTTTGTCACTATCTGCTTACACGTGTTTTTACTGAGCGCAATACGCTACAGTTAGCTACTCTGGTTTGTACCACAAACATACATTCTACAAGAATTTTCTCATTATAGTAAAATACTATACTGCACACAACTTAGTGGTAGCTAACGAAGGCGACTGTTTTAATTGAATTATTTTGGGATGAGAATGTATCTATAGAAAATATAAGTTTTGTGGAATTTTTTTATGGATAATACTTACCTTGGTTAAGGATTTTTTATACTTTGTTATTTTTAAAACTTTTTACAATCCCCGACAGCATGTGAAATCTTTAAGATTATATTAAAAATATTTTATAGAGTGCTTTAATTTATTTGAAGCTAAACATGTGAAAACAATTATGTTTCCACTTTTAACTTAGCTTCCATAACGTTTTAAATAGACGTTAGCTATAAATAAATAAAAAAGCCAAATAAGTAATAAAATAAAAATAAAATTAAACAATTACATTACTTATAAAACGCTGGTTACACCGCACACAAACATTTTTGAAACTTGAAATAAAAGGGGGAACATTTTTTATCTTCGTGGGTTTCTGTTGCGTACGCTGTGAAAATGCCCGTATAGTGTATGTGTTTATCTTACTACTAATTAGAATAAAGAGGTTTCAAAAATAAATTTTTAAAATTATTCTACTACACAGCTTTTAAAAATAAATAAATTTGAAAAAAAAATTAATATATAAAAATATTGGAATTGATTCTGCTTTCGGGTTTCGCATGAATAAATAACCTTTATAATTTTAATGAGGATAGAGTAGAGATTATTTTTCCATTTCATTGACGATTTTATTTATAAGTAATTAAATGATATGCTTACTTCTTTGAACATGTTTTCCTATATTAACGATAATTTCGCTAAAACATCTGGCAACGGTTCTAAAGGGCACTGTAGACACGTAAATCACTATCACCACATTTACAAAGTCGCTTTTTTATCCTTACTTAAATCTTCAAAACTACGCAACGTATTTTTATGCGGTTTTTTTTAAATAGATAGAGTTGTTCAAGAGAAAAGTTTTTATGTACGTCCATCGTTTTTCTGTTTTTAGCATCAGCTTTGAAGCCGAACGAAGCCGGGGCGGGTCACTAGTACACACAATATACGATAATGCATACTGATATGAATGAAGTGGAAAACAGCGTAGAGTTCGCAGGTGTAAAAAAGAAATTAGCTCGGCATGTGAATTTTGTAAGGTGAACAACCAAGCGAAACCAGGGTCGCGGCGCCTCTTAAGGTCACCTGTGACTTGACACCAATGCTACGTTATTAAATTACATTTTAAACTCGCTGCTGATGTAACAATTGCTTTCGTTTCGAGTTCTCCAACGATTGGATTGGATTGGATCGAATGTCCTGGCAACGTTTTTCGTGGACCGTTCTATTTCCTCCAGCTTATGATGTTAGCTAATACAACGCTAATAGCTAATCAACGACTCGTGGGATTGATCCCCAAAGAGTCATATGTATGTAATGAATATTAAAGAAACCACGCTGGTCTAGAAATCTGTTTATTAAAAAAATAGGTTTATCAAAATTTCGTCCAATCATGAGCCATCCACAGAAGAAACAATTAAGTTTTAATCGCGTGTTGGTTTTAGTATGTGGAATTCGAATAATAGTGGGGATTTCACCTTAAATCGTGTGAATCCAGTGCTTACTTGCCCTCCTCTATAATATAAAAAAAATAACCGTTAAATGTTAGTATGTTATATTATATCGTATATAGTTGTACGTTTTATCTTTATGAATTAACGAATAGAATAATAGAATACCGACAGGAAATGACGTGAAGCTAGAAATAGACAACTAAGTAACAACTTAAGTAGTTGAACTAACGTAAATTAACACAATACCGAGATTCAGTGGTAAGCGTATGACAAGCATTAGTCGATTTCGTGTGCTCTAATCTATGTATCCAGTAGGCCCAACCATTTATAAAATACACGAATTTAGTTCATCTATACTAACATATAGAGCTGAAGAATTTATTTGTTTGTTTGAACGCACTAATTTCAGGGTTCGAATAGAAAAATTCTTTTTGTGTTGGTTAGAGAATATTATATAGACTTTAAGACTGACTTTATATCATCGCCCTGTGACGAATACAAGCGAGGATATAGCAAGAAATTTGCAGAAAATTGGAAAAAATATTTATCATTACGGGTTTCCGAAGCGTACACTGTAAAAACGGTTCAAGACGATGTCTATCTTTTAACATGAACTAGCAAGAGCGACGGGAAGGGACGCGACCGACGTCGTGGGTATCAAAGGTTAGGTTAGCTAAGGTTATTATAATGGGGTTTGCAAAAACGAATTTGGATGGCCAAAATAACGATTCTCGCGAACGAAGTCGCTGGCACAGCTAGTTACTAAATAGACATTATGTTCCAAGTAAAGTTGCAATACTTTCTAATGATTGTAATATGAATCAACAATGAGATTTCTAACATAAGGAACAGCAACACCAAGTCATTAGTTTTTAAATTAGCAAATTATGCGGCACGGTAAATGCGATACGATTCAGCGAAAACTCCTTTAAAGTACTTTGATACAATGCATGAATAAATACAAGTAAGTACATTTACAGATAAAGAATATTTAGATGAATATCTACATTAAATTATATATGTAGCTCAAAATTATAAAACAAATATATGTATGGTGTGTAAAATGTCAAAAAAAGACGTAACATATACATCAAAGTAGTATGTGAATGATATATGTATATGTTATGATGTATATCTTTACTTTTACCTATCGCCTTGGTATAGTGGTTAGTTTATACTACACGCAGATGCGAAAACAAGATCGACTGTTAATTTGTTTAATGTTTAAATTTCCCATAAAAATTCGAAACTTAAAAAAACAATACCAGCTCGATGCGTTAGTACGTGGTGTCCTTGGCGGTAATTGTTACAATCCTATAACAGACCTATCCCTAGCAGCATTTTAACGACAAAGTAATAAACACTTTTTGCTGTCTGTGCACCTTAATATAATGACTCTATTTATTGTAATAATTATACTGCAGCAACTCAGATTAAACAAACATTAATTTATCTATCTCTACTAATATATAAAGCATGACGCTGTGGCTAATAAATGTGGGAAATGTAGAAAAAAACGGGGAAAATTATTCATCCTTGTGGGATTCTGTTGCGTGCGCTACAAAAATGCTTCAAGATACCCAAAAAATATGTATGAAAGAATGATTCTCTAACTAAACTAAAATTATGTCCGAGACAGCATATGTCTATCTTTTAATTATCTTTAAACAACAAGGGGACGCGGACATCGGCTCAAATTTATGTAGATGAACTTCTGAATGAATTTCTGTGCGGACGAAGTCGCTGACAGAGCTAGTTTTCGATAGAGATTACATCAAAATTCAGGTAACAGTAAAATTTACTGCTTACATTATTATCAAGGCGTGAAATGTTGAAAAACATTATCATAAGGAGGCTTTAGTAACCATAATATATGATGTGCAATAAGGTGTCTTCGCCACTAAGTGAAAGAAATGGTTTTTCATATAAGCCTATCTAGTGTGAATTCATACTAGGGTTGCCAGACGGTCGGGAACCGTCGGGACATTTTCAGTCTCCAGACTCCCGACAAAAGACAAAATCTCCAGAAAAACACATGTGATCATTTCGGTACAAAAAAATGGTCGCGTCTTTTAATATTGCGTAATTGTGTCTTTTAACCCTAAAATCCCGACTTTTGAATTTGTTCGATATTTTGAATTTCTGATCTGGCAACCCTAACTCATACGTGTGTGTGGGTAATTTGTATCCACTGTATTGTTCTGTACTCGGTTTTTATTATAAATTCAATGAAGCTTGGCAGTTATGTTTTGCCTAGTTTTCACTAGTAACGCGAAATAATTAAAACACGATATTATTGTTTTGTTATACGAGGCTAAATTCCGAAGATTAGAATGACTCGTAGTTTAGCGTCTCTTTTAATCGACTTCCAAAGGCAAATTCTAAAACATACCGCAGAAGTATTTTTTATCTTTCTTGGTGGTAAACTCGCCATTTATAAACCAATTTTTTTTTTTGTTGGACAAAAGGTGGGGTTTGATCATGTTCTTCATATTAAAAAGCATATTATGTAAAACATTAATTAAAACATCTAAATGAAACAAAATCAATTACGTAATAGTTTGAGCGGAGTAAATTTGTTAATTGCACGGTTATTTTTTTTTTAATTTCGTGATCATAATTAAACAGTGTGAAAACAATTGCAATCAATGCTGTCAAAAATTATTATAAAGGCACAGACATCTGAATCCTTCATGTTACGCACATAATGGCATTATATAAATTAAAAATCGATTCTACACTGAAAACATTACTTACTTGACATTGTCGATTTTCGGATACGAACATATCCGGAGGGTTTTCGTGTTAGATCCGACCGCGTACAGTTTCCCATTCGGGTGGAACTCAGCGCATCTGATCGCCTGCAGGTCTTCAAGCACCGAGACCGGTTTGAACATTGGCCTGGATCCGTTGGTCTCAGCAACGGCGGCGCTTGGCGACGATATCGGCGGGTTCTGGTGTGTTCCATTTCTGTTTTGCGCCTAGAAGAGGAAGTAACATGAGATATTGCGTGGTGTTTTAAAACTTCGACAACATTTGACGAGCTCGTTTGTCTAATAGTAGCAATGTATGGCTAATGATCGATGGGTCGTGGGTTCGATCGCCACAAGGTCCAATATGTTTTTAATTATTCAATTTATATTTTTTCTATAACATGCTGGACTTGGTCTGGAAATATGAATATTAAATGTGTAGGAATATAGAAATACCGTCCGGGTCACGAATTACCGTTCACAGATGAAAAGAGCCGAGTGAAGCTTAATCGCGTTTCTGTTTCAGTCTGTGGATTTCCGAATATCCAAAGCCAAAATAGGTCGATAGCACATCTTGGCTGGAGTATATCGCCTACCATCAAGTGAACACCATGTCATGTCTACTCTATCATTAAAAAAACATTTATTGGCTTAGTCAAGTTGTGTCGAAATTTTTCTATCCTTCGTCCATTTTTAATTTTATTCAGCCCAACGGGATGTAAAGGAATAATTAAAAACCTAAGGTTTATCAAGTTAATATAGGGGACTTAACAGACAGTTTGTGAACAGTAAGGCAAAGTTCGAGATGTGTTCTGAATGACGGTATATGTCAATCCCATACAATAATATATAATCCTCCTAGGTACAGCGAAATACTATGTGCGATTATAATAAATCGTATTTATCATATTTATTAACACAATTCAAAAAGTAGTAAACTTATGGGAAATGTTTTCTTGGCTATAAAAATTAAGCAAGTTGTAAACAATGAAGTATTATTTATCAGCAGAGTTAAAAGTTAGCTTTCATTAAAGCAGATTTTTTTATCAGTTATATTGAAAATCGTAAACACTACATAAAATAATTGTAACAAATGAAAAACAATAAATAGAAGGTAAAGCCTGTTAATTTCTGAACATTTATCGATACTTAAAGCAGAGTATATAAAATAAACATGTATTGTTAAGAATTTGTTTATTATGTTTTCTAATTATAAGTAATATACTGACTATATCAAAGAGTTATTTGAAAACAATAACACTTAAGAGATAAGGTTTTTATTGTAGATGTGTTTTGTTATAACCGGAAACGAATGGACAGATAAAACACTCGTGAGTTATCGAGGAAAATAAAGGAGAATTAATTAAATTTCAGAATTAATAAGAATAAGTATCAACTTAAAAAAAACTTTTAATTTATACGGTTCTATTTTTTGTGCACTGAAAACTACAAAAAATAATAATTTTGACATAATCATCGTGTTTTATTAGTGTAGCCCTTTCATTTGATACCCATATTGAGGGGGTTGGGGAAAAATATGTAATCCGCCATTTTGTATCGGCGGCCATCTTGCATTTAAAATATTTTTGATTTTTTCAGATCAATCTGACAACGGGAAGGTGCTTAAATTTCAATTTCTAATTTTGACCCAAATAAATGAATTCCGTACGGGTCAAGCTAAATAAAACTGTTTTTGACTGAAACAAAAACTTTGTTTTGTGTAAAGTTCGAATTTAAAAAAGAAAGCTTTCTTAAAAGTTTCAAACGTTCAGAATTCGAACACTAAGAGAACGAAACTAATAATTTAAAATTCGAAATGGGGCTATTCGAATATTACCAGACGAGCTAATGTACAATTTAACCGTCGCAAAACAAACGGCGGAGTAAATGAATGAACAACTCAACTTCTAAATGGTACAACAAATGCTATTCAGTACAGACTTCAGTAGCTGCACTGTTGCGTTGGCCTATATTTGAGGTATGTCGTAACTTACGATTATAGTACTGTTCTTTCTATCAAGTTATTGTTTATTGTTCGCACACTTTCTTTCACCTAGCTAATTTAATGTATACATCGCATCAAAGCACGATAGAGTGCCAATATTTGCACCTTCTAGACAAAAGCAATCTTATGTAATCTTAGAACTACGAAGCAAGTAAGAAAAACACGCTTCGCAGAAACATAGGTGAAGAAATATCTTTCACAATAAAGATATTGTAAAATAACGAAATAGTAGCTTAATGTTTAAGCGTGGCTTAAGATTGCATAAAGTTTGAGAAGTACTGGGTTTGAATCCCGGGGGAAACAATAAATTATTTCGGTCGAGCTGAGCACAGAAGTAGCCTGTAAATGAAATCGATCACTGAAATGGACAGAGAATTGTCAACAGAAGTAAGTTGTATTAACTACATTTGATAATCAAATTGAATTCTAGAAGGATTAAACCAATATGAAAAAAGGGTTTAAAAGTTATATACATTTTCGTCACCGAGATTATAAATTTTTAGCTATGGCGTTCAATTTCTTTAACGTTATATTGTTAATCGGTATCCTACAACAGATTATTTATGTAACACATAGGGACGATATTCATAACTCGTAACGGCTAATTTTCCAAGCAAAATGGTGTTATACAAATTACATTGTGAAACTCGTTCGGCTTTAGTTTTCCGGAAAGTCATTACTACAGCGCACCACGCTTTTCAATTTGATATCAACTGAACGTGAAAAAATATTTATTACAATATTCCATCGATTTTTTACGAAAGATTCTAGACTGTTCGTTCACTAACGTTTATAATGGATTTTCATCATTGATGTCGACATTATCACTAATAGGGTGTAAACATTTAAAAATCGAACATAAATTTAAAACATTTTCGACTCAGGCAGGACTTGAAACTGTATCGTCAGCGTTCCCTGCTGTTGCTCTACCAATTGAGCTACCGAGTCCTACACCTTATCATTGAATTTTTTTTAAACTTATTTATACATGCACCTCTCGCGCAAATGTAATCATTCAAAAGTACGTGAAACAGCACAGAGACGCGATCTTATCCTCTACATTCTATTATTAAAAGGATGTTAAAATATGAAGGACATTGGTAAAAAGCTTTGGAGTTTGCTTGTTTTTACAGTTTACTCAAATAACGCTATATACACTTAATAATTTTAGTAATTCATAAGTTTTCCTGTTTGTAATCCGTGAAAAAGGCAATAAATAGTACAAAACCCTGCTTAAAGTAATAAGTACATCTTAAGAGTACGTAACAAAATCGCTATGATATATTGAGCCACTGAAATATTATTATAATTCCAGTGAACAAAGTGATACATACAAGCGTGATATATTCAACAAATAATATGTAATATATTAAATAAATAAAAGATTCGTTTCGTATTCGAACATACCCTAATAGCTGTGGTGAGATAGATTAACGTGAAATTTAATACCTAGCTCCGCCCGCTGTTTTATTTAAGCCTAGTTTAATTTTACGAGGGTACAAAACATGGTGAAAACGTATGAGAGGTGTGTATTTTTTGCTGTGAATTTATGAGCATGTATTCTCTTCTCTTCTTCTCCAGAAATATTATTGTAGTAATAATATACACAGTAAACACTATACGAATGATTATTTTTATTAAGTTGCGCAATTTAGATGTCATGCATATTAAACAAATCTCGTTTCTTCTGAGCGAGTCATAAAGACACATTTCAGTGTCTATTTTACCAATCAATACCATTTACTGTCAGGTTGATTAACTGAACGCCATGTCCGACAGGAAATTTATGTATCCCAACATTTTTGCCCATGTCAACTCGCTTTTAATGCAATGCAGTAATTAATTACTTTTATCAATTTAAATAAAACACTTTAACGGTTTAAAACGCAATATATTAGTTAAACTTATTTGAAAATAATTTTTAACTCGACGTTTCGGATGCTTTGCAGCAGCCGTGGTCATGGGGGTGGCCGAAACGTCGGGCCGAAGTTAAAAATCATTTTCAAATAAGTTTAACTTATATATCGCGTTTTAAACCGTGACCACGGCTGCTGCAAAGCATCCGAAACGTCGGGCCGAAGTTACAAATCATTTTCAAATAAGTTTAACTTATACGTCGCGTTTTAAACCGTTAAAGTGTTTAATTTAAATACTACACTTTACTAAAAAAAAATTTTTTCAATCTCAGAATAAAAATTGCGCTCGTCGATCTTCCAATATATCCCTTAATCCTGTAGGTTACCTTTTTTGTATGCTAATGTAGTTTATTTTTAGTTTCATATTTTCATAAAGGTCGTTCGCCTTTTAGATTTGGAAAGCTTAATTGACGTGCCACACAAATACCTTTTTTGATACATGACTAATCTACGTGGGCTGGGGATTGTGATCCTTTTCTGATTTGAGAACAGTTATTTGCGACATTTTTTAAGAGAAACAGCCGTAGGTATTTTCACATTTGAAACGCGTATATGGTAAAAATCTACACTAACATTATAAAGCTGCAGAGTTTGTTCCTTTGTTTGAACGCGCTTATCTCAGGAACTACTGGTTCGAATTGAAAAAATATTTTTGTGTTTCGTTAAAGCATTTATCGAGGAAGGCTTTAGACATCAAAATGCGCCCAATAGTAGCGAAAACTAGTGGGAAATGTGAAAGACACGGGGGAAATTATTTATTAATAAGGATTTTCGTTACGTGCGCTGCGACAACGGTTCTAGACCCCCAAATAAACGTATGTACGAATGATTTCTCTATAAATGATTTCAAAAAATTTCCGCGACAGACCAGGTCTTTATTTCAATCATTGATGATGAGGCGTTTTGCAAAAACAAATGTTGATGCTAAAATAACTATTCTACGCGGGCGAAGTCGCTGTTAGAGCTAGTAGTAGCTTTTGATATTACATATATATATATATATATATAATTACTGTCTATAGTTTACGCGAGTAGTACACATTTAAATAAAACACTTTAATGGTTTAAAACGCGATAAACAAGTTTAACTAACTAATATATCACGTTTTAAACCGTTAAAGTGTTTTATTTAAATACATATATATAATGTTTACAATAACGATTCTCGAGGAAGTAATTTTGCAATGGACGAGTACAAATTAACGACTACTATCATTGTCTAATAATACAAGTATGCTATACTTTATACCGGAAAATGAACGACAATGGGGTAATTAAAGCTAAGAAAACTGAATATTTTCCTAATCACTATAATTATTCTTGATTCTCATTTCTATACACAATGCCTGTTCAAACAAACTACAAGTGTAGTAGATTTATATAGATGTTTATTTAGGTAGTTTAACTTAATATAAGTGAATACTGTTTTGTTTAAATTGCTACTCACCCAACTAACGCACATTAGAATTAAATAATTTTAAGTAATGGATTTATGGTCTGAAAAATAAATTATTATTATTATTTAATCAAGTTTGACGAAGTTGAATGTAAGGGTAACATTATCGATTATTTCAGTCTACATCTTGAATTAATTTGAAAACATTTTGCACGTGATGGCATCGTGTAAATAAAGATCTATTTAAGCTAAAATTATGCCGGTTCTACGCTTAAAACGTAAATGTTAAGGTTCAAAATACATAGCGCGAGAGTTGAATGTATCGATGGAGAAATTCGACGATGACGCGTAGGATACGGTAGCACAATGGTTAGAGCATTAGCACGGAACGCTATTGATATCGGGTCAAGTCCCGAACGTGATATAAAGTTTTTCAACATTAATCCATTTCTAATCTTTCCGAGAATGTTAAACTATAGAACCGATTTAAGTGAACGACAAAAGACTTGTAAAAATATAATAGAATTTGGTAGGATAATTACAAATAATGCACGGTTTACCCTATCCAGTTATATAGTGAGGTTATAATTTCGCAAATTGTAATCAATGGACTAAAAGACATGTGACAAGCTAAATAATGGACTATATTGCTAGTAACTAACAAAAGCGAATAAGATACTTTATAACAAGAGAAGACTTCGTGTTAAGGTCTCGTATGAACACCACTCATAATGTATCCCCGACCCAACGCCAGACTAGACTAATGTCCTGGGATCGCTTACATAATACTCCGACACGATAAAAAAGAACTTGCTAGCAGTTATTAGTATCCGATACGGAATTGCAGAAAGATTCTTAATTCAAATTATACAGCCATTTGAGGCTGATTATCACAAAAACGCCGTTGACCGCATAAAAACGTCGAGTCACATTCGGCGATGAGGTAACACCCGATTTTACATAGAAAGCCGATATTATATTAGTTTTAGAACATCATTATGCAAAAAGCACTTTCCTTTCCTATGTCAGATAGAAAACATAATTTCGATAACTCGTAATACTCAAACATTACATAATCCAATATAGAACTTTTTCCAAGCAAGTTAGCTCTTCTCATTTAACGTAATTCGTGTTACGCCAACATCATAGTTTTACCACGTTTCTAATTATCTTACATAAGGTTGCATTAACCTAAAACCGATGGAACAATATAAAACAACATAATACAATTCACATTCGCATCGCCAGAGTAATTGCTAGAACTGAAATCCGTGTTCAGATCATCTATAGAATAGCGTTATGGAAGAGCATGACGCGTGATTTATCAGATAAGTGTGCAGCGACTGCTGTTTGTAAAATAAAAAGTCCGCCTCGAACATCCGTTACAATATGCGCAGGATTATGTCGCGGTTCAACGGAGCTGAACGGGTCTTGCCACCGTCGCTTCCTACCTCTTCCCATAGCGTCATTATAAATAATAACCATCGTTACGAATCAATAATGAAAACGTGTTCATACCATAGCGTTGCGATAACTCAAAACATCATTTCGCCGAGCAAATCGTAAAGATAAAGGCTAGAAAGTGCGCGTAAAGCACACTCAAAAGTGGAACACATACATAATATGGCAACATTAAAACAAAACTAGTAGCAGAAAGAACTGTAATTGTTAAAATAAAACATCTCACAATGAGTCCGTTGGCACTGTAGAAAGTCGTGCAATTACCTGCAAGGCGGAGATGCGTTTCGGTGGCAACACTTGTGGTGACTTCTCCACTAAGTTTTCCATCGAGTGGCGCGTGTGGTAGTTCTGCTTCTGGAAGGTGGTGTTCATTTTGTATGCGCTGCGGCTGAACTTGGTTGCCGGTGCGACGATACGGTTGCCGTTCTCGTCGTCGTCCTCCCATTCGGTGACCACTTCCGTGCGAACGTCCTCGAGCGATCGCGAGCGGCTACAAGGGCACGCGGGCGACGTCGCCTTCGGGTTCCGCAGTTGGCGCGGCCGCTCTCTACTCAGATATAGCTCAGCGCTGCTGGGCGTCGGCGCACCAGCTGATCTATAGCTCGGCGACAAGAAGTAGTAATCGCGCGACTTATTACTGTACGCGCTCATCGCCGAGAAGTCCGAATACGTGGATCCTTTGGATGAAGCCGTCTTGAAGTTTCGCGTGTCGATATCCGGCGGGCGGAAGTAGAAATTAGGTTGCACTTGCCGGGAAAGCGGCCAGGGCCTGAACGGCGGCATGTCGACGTACTGCGGCGGTTTCGACTTCATAACGTTCGCGATGGGGCATCAGAGCGCGTCGCCGTCGGTTCCGTGCGAACGACGCTGTGGAAACTACGCTACTGTTGTTGTGGACTGCGAATGGTGCACGCCGTGCCCACTACGAGCCCGAAAGAGATGGGAATAGAGAAAGGCGCGCTAGCTTTCCGCTTGATCCGTAGAACGCGAGCGCAAGTGAAAGGGGTGGCACACGCGCTTGGCTTTAGCTAAGTAGCTACGCATAAACGGCGCATACGCAAATACTGTTATTCTCATCATCACACTGACTTATCACTCGTGCACGCTGCATTAAACATTTTATATGAATCAGATATGTATCAGGTTAGCTACGTAATAGGAATTTAATATTTGTTGTTGAATGCCTATTGCATTAGAATATGGAAATGATTTGAAATTCACAAACAATACTACAAATCAAATTACGATTGGCGATTAACACTAATTAATTGAAATCAACGGGCAATTGCTTCAACATCCGATATTAATCTCGTTATACCTGTAACTAACGCGATTATATTATACGCGATAGTAGTTATTTTCATTCTCAACCATCTACATTCTACGTCGTTTCTGGTGGACACCAAAAAACGTACCAAACTTCAAGCCTTCGTCATCTTGAGACCTCCCGTGACCACGGCTGCTGAAAGCATTCTAAATGTCGGGTCATGATTAAGTATTAAATAGTTAATCTCGATATTTACGCAACCGAACGCCCCGAATTGAAAATGAGTTGCGTGCGCGCAACTAATTTGGCCGGATCGATTCAAATCACGGTTTTTCGAAACAACGTATGCCTCGTCACGCTCACGTACAGCTTTCGCTTCTATCTTACGCCCGATTGATTCATTAACCTCGTCGAAATCATCATTAAAAAACAAGAGGTGAAGGAAGATGAGGTTTATGTTTTCCGCGACGCGTTTATGGGTTTATCGTTGATAAGCATAAACAATGATTAATGACGAACCCACGCGCGACATAAAATAATGCAAGAAAATCCAAACATTTAATTAGCCCCCATATATGTAACGGAGGAACACAAGGCTCCACCATATATAGTCCCCATAATAAACAAGTTTATGTGAGATGAAACTCATCATAAACATTGGCGGCCCACACGAGAAACATGAATCAATAATAATTATGACCACACGAACAATGTAATGGAGCCGCAAGGACGAACTGGCGGAGGAAAAAAACGTTTTGCGGAATCTTACAATTGTTATTAATAGCGGTGACTGTGGACTGACTTCGTGTAAATTAAGAGAATGAATTGTTCAATTCTAACTACCTCATCTAACGGTAATACATAATAGGAACATGGATTTGTCTCTATCGGGAAAGCGCATTTCAAACACTACGGAAGACTTACTTGACAGACTAGGACAGACAAACATGGTATTCACTTGAGAGATGGTGAAATACCATTTAATCAAGATGCCCTCCAACCTTTTTGGCTTCAGACAAACTTTATATCTTTTTCATAAGCGGACGGTTCGGTGGTTAGTTCTACGGCCGCTAATGATAATATTCGCATTTTCCAGACGACGAAAATTAATTTTATTTATTAATACGTTAAAACAACTAATGGTAATATAATCATTGCTAACATAAGACCAAAAAACCCCTCAATTTTCTTAATGCCATCAACCAATTTAAATTTTATTGGACAAACTATTTAGGGAAATATTTGTACTTTTTTCTTTCTTCCTTATGATATATTAGTGTCATGTATCTGTTTATTTCCGGTATTCTTAAATAAATAAAATAAAATTAATAAACCTAGAAAGAGCTCTCGGTTTATTTATTATGGTTTAAGAGATAAGACCGGCCATGTTGCTCCAATTCGGGTTGGCCTTGTTTTACGACAACATGCGCAAAATTAAAAAAAAAATAGCATTAATAAACGACGACTGTTTTATTAAATAATACTAATTGTCATGCTGATCAATAAAACTGATCGAAGATTGTCAACCGCCATTACACTAATATTTCATGAACCATTATGAACCTTTTACTCTTGACAAGGCTTGAACAAGTACACTTAAAGTATTCAATTAAATACAGTTTAATAATACATAAATATAAAAATAACAAGACAAAAACAATGTCTAGTAATAAAAGCCCTTTTGAAAGGTACTTGTAAGAGGTCGCCTGTAAATTAAACGGAGCTTTGTTTATTAATTAAGCACAATGAATTGTATTGAGAAATAGGACATTCGAAGTGGCATTCTACGACTAAGATGTTATAAGTCAGACCCGCATTCTTAGGACATCCGAATGAATTAAGAGGCCTCACGTCTTTGGAATTCAACTAGTGTCTCTTTAGGTATTTCTTCGGAAACGAAATACTATTTTTTAGTTTAGTGGCTAACAGGGAGAAACCACCAAATCTAAAAACTAAGTTTTCTGCGTCACTAAGACTTACTTAGAAAACATATGTAAATATTACTTCATGACTAATTTTAGTAATACCAACCAAGCTGTATTCAGACTCGTTATATAAACAATATCAATACACCATATTATAAATTATCTAATACAGAGCGTAGGAAAAACAACGGAATACACGTGAAACAATACAATATACATAACTTCGCGGTAATTATGAATAATACAAAAAAACCCGATGAAACATGTAACGTTTAAATATTGATTCAGCGAAATATAATTACCACATGTTACCAGTGAATTATTTTTATTCTTAAATATTTGCATGGAATTCTACACAAAAATGTTTAAAACGCGATATATATTAGTTAAACTTGTTTGAAAATTATGTTAACTAGGGCCCGACGCTATCACGGGGAGACTTATGATGGAGGGTGTCTCGGACAACAAAGTAAAAATTTAGTTAAAATAATTTTCAAACAAGTTTAACTAGTTAAGTGTTACATAGCGTGTACTATGAAAACGGGAAATAAATTCGTATGACAATGATTTAAAGTGTTAAATAACCTAAAAACATATCGGCGACATTGTATGCCTATCTCTTAAGACCCACGATGTGGATTACTCTATATAAATACTGTCTATAGTTTACGCGAGTAGTACACATTTAAATAAAACACTTTAACGGTTTAAAACGCGATATATTAGTTAAACTTATTTGAAAATGATTTTTAACTTCGGCCCGACGTTTCTGATGCTTTGCAGCAGCCGTGGTCACGGAGAGACTGCTGCTGCAAAAGCATCCGAAACCATTTTCAAACAAGTTTAACTAATATATCGCGTTTTAAGCCGCTAAAGTGTTTTATTTACTCTATATATCTATGATTCATGAAGTTAGATGGGTATGATGTTTGTAAAAACAATGTTTTAAGTCCAATATAACGATTAAACGCAGGCGAAATCACTGGCACAGCTAGTCCACCAATAAGCGTCGATTCGTCGATCAATATATGACGAGTTAACGAAAGTGCCATTACTTTTAAAAGGTTCTTAACAAGTAGAAAACCACTAATACTAATTCATAGCTAAAGGCCATTGGAACACATGTATTTCTCGAATGGTACCTATTTTATAATGAAGCATTAGAAATGTGTTAAGTGAGAGAAAGAGTGAAACTAAGGAATTTTAATGTAACATATGTACTAGCTGGGTATCTATCATTACTAATCTAAGAAGGTAAATGAGCATTAGCTTGTCAAAAAGTTTATCTTAAAATCGACTGCTAATAAAAACATTACAAACAATTAAAGTTTTGTATCTGCCACTGGTAATAACTTTATACGTACCCCAACAATGTAAGTTAAACGCAGCCGAAGTCGCGTACAAGTTCGTTATTTCAATAAGCGATAAATCAAAGCGAAATACTAAAAGGGCCCCAATTTACTTCCCTGGCTGATTGAGCGTAGACACGGTTTTAGCGTTAGATTTATAGTTGACGAAATTTCAATCGACCCAAAACTTGCGGTCGTTTGTTTAGAATTAATTGTATCATTTATCGTAACATCGTACGACAGTGATAATCGTTTACATAAAACCAAAGGCGTGGCCCGGTTTGTGGGAATGGCGAAATGTTAGCAAATTTTTATAGTTAATTTTTTCGCGGTCACGAATCACGATATTTGTCGGCCATTGTTGTTCCTGAAGACAGAGATGGGGATATCAATCAGTATAATTATTTTTTTCGTAATTGAACAGGTATTTCATAGTTTAGGAAGTAACACATAAAAAAGAACACTTTAACGGTTTAAAACGCGATAGCGATTAGCTAAATTTATCCGTAAATTATTTTAACTACGGTGCGACGTTTCAGATGCTTTGCAGGAGCCGTGGTCACGGGGAGTCAGTCCAGTCAGTCAGACCAAAGCTTAAAAAGTGTACTACTCGCGTAAACGACGCTCAGAACATCGTTCTAGCAAGTTGATCTTTAGAGATAGACATAGTGTCTAACTAACTAGCTGTGTCAGCCTCTTCGACCGCGTAGAATAGTTATTTCGGGCATTCAAATTTGTTTTTGCAAACCTCCTCTTCATCTTTATAAATTTAAACTCTATCCGATATCCACTTAGGACGCGTCCCGTCACTCGCGACTCGTCGTTATTGTTAATCTTCAAAGATAGACATATAATGTCGCGGATAATTTTTTAGATCATTTAACGAGGAATCATTCTTTCCCACATATTTTTTTGGTTACTTGAACCGTTTTCGCAGCGTACGCATCGAAAACTCAGAAAGAAGAATCTTTCCCGTTTTTTCCACATTTCCCGCTGTTTCTTCTTTCCTATTAGTCAAAGTGCGATATTTTATAGCCTATTATAACCTTCCGCGATAAATACTCTAGTTTTATATATTAGTACAGATTGTCTATAGATCTTAACAGACTTAACTATACAGATATAAGTGCTTCTAACAAGTAGACTGTGACAGAATAATCTAGGCAATACGATATACACAGTGAAGGATTCCGAGTTGAATTATTATTAATTGCTGTGAACACTGCATGATAAAGGCATGGTTTAGCCTTGTTTCCTACAGCCGATATATGAGGGCGCTAGAGGCAGAATAGCTTAACTGCAATTTGATGACTGGACTTATTTATATTTTTAAACGGTTTTATTTAGCTCGACCCGTACGGAATTTAGTTATTTGGGTCAAAATTAGAAATTGAAATTCAAGCACCTTCCAGTTGTCAGATTGATCTGAAACTTAGTACACACATTTCATTTAGACGACAATACAATATAATAAAATCAATAACATTATAAATCCAAGATGGCCACCGATACAAAATGGCGGATTACATATTTTTCAAATGAAAGGGCTATACTAGTAAAACACGATGATTATGTCAAAATGTAAATTTTTTTGTAGTTTTCTGTGCACAAAAAATAAAACTGTTTTCTTCATACTTGTTATAGTCTATAATTGTTAATCTACAAGAGCACAGTGACCGAAAATTGTTAACATAATTCTTACACAAATAATATTACAAATTCATTTTCTCCTACGTAAATTGTGCATTTTTATTTTACTCCTTTTTTTATTATAGACGCATCATTGATTCTATTTGAGTCCCACGGCTGGGATTCCTCCATCATAGGAAAGGGGGTTTTTACACCTACAAGTAAGAGTTTTTGCGTTGAAGCAATTACTGCTATTAAATTACCAGGTCTCGTTTATAGCTTAACGTTCTCTGAGGCACGCATAGAATTATCTTATCTCATAATAATTATATATCTATGATAATATCAACAACTATAATTGATAAAATTTCTACATTCCACACGTAACGCTTTTATCTATACTAATATATAAAGCTGGAGAGTTTGTTTGTTTGTTTGAACGCGTTAATCTCAGGAATTACGGGTTCGAATCGAAAAATTATTTTTGTGTTGGTTAGAATTTTTATCAAGAAAGGCTATAGCTATAAAACATCGCCCTGTAACTAATACAAGCGCAGATACACCCGGAAATATGAAAAAAATGGGAAAATTATTCATCTTTATGGGTAACCGAGGCGTACGCTGCAAAAACGGTTCAAGATACCCAAAAAATATGTATGAAAGAATCATTCCTCTTTAAAAGATCTAAAAAAAGTCCACGACGCTCTTTGTTTATAAGGGGGAAGGGGTTTGCAAAAACAAATTGGGATGCCCAAAATAAATATTCTTAGCGGGCGACGTCACTGGCACAGCTAGTATATAATAAATGGTTCATGTGATTTATAAAACTAAACAGTTTGTTTGAAAACCTTAATTTGATGAATTTTCACATGTTATTGCACATGAAGGCACTATATAATTTAAAAATCGAAAATAAATTGAAAAAAAAATTTCGACTCGGTAGCTCAATTGGTAGAGCAACAGCATGGAAAGCTGACGATGCCGGTTCAAGTCCTGCCCGAGTCGAAAAGTTTTTTCAATTTATTTTCGATTTTTAAATTAAACAGTTTGTCTCAACGCTTTAATACATATAACACTTTATATTAGATTGGCCATTTATAGACGCTATGATGTGCTTTTGATGTTCGTATTCACTAAAGGGCTAAACCAATAGTAAAGCGATTTTCACTAGCTATATTATATGGATTGATATTATATTTTAGGATATACACACATCGGATTGAGTAGTTATACCACAAATGATGTCAACATCAAACGCCGTATTTGTTGGTGAAGTCATCAATACAAAAAGAACAAACACGATTAAAAGCATATCTAAGCAAAACCTTACGTTCAAGCCGATTTGAACCCTTCTTATTCTCGTTTTGACATTTCACGAACCCTTTCAAAGCGGCCATTTATGCCAACTAACGAAAGGTCAGGTTGCCAAATAAAATCCTATTCATAAATAAATGTTGATGACGAGTATTATACTAAAACGTTGCTAAATTAGTTTAACTAATATATATCTCGTAAGCCGTTAAAGTGTTTTATTAAAATGTGTACCCGACAGTAAAGACAGTATTTAGTTGCCGCACTGCAAATAAAATAATATTTAAATAAATGTAGTTATTTATTCAACTATAGCGGTCTGGCAGCAATGAAGTTGCAGCAGGATTTATTTATTTTATTATTTTAATAAAAGAAAACTAGCTCTGTTATAGAACTGTATGAAAAAAATATGATTGTTGTTCCAGGTGTTTCGTATCAAAAAGTTGTAGGTATCAGTACCAGGTTGTAAAATTAGAGAAATATTTATTATAACTTTTATATTTTAGCTGTACGTAAGTTAGCATATCATTGTCTTTCGGGCTGTTCAGCCGATGTGAGCGAGAAGAGGTTGAGAACCTCTTCTCGCTCACATCGGCCGAACAGCCCGAAAGACAATGATATGCTGAACGATGGCCGCGAAGGCCTTATACAATTTATTTGTACGTAAGTTAATTTATTGACAGATAGCGCGAAGCTTACTCAGTCATATCAATACAATTAGAATCTTCGTGTAAAGAAAATTACAGAATATGAAACAAAAGCGTTCGACAAAGCCAAAGCTTATGCCCTATTTTAGTAAGTTTTGTTTACGCGCTATAGCTGACTAAACGCAGTGAAAAAACAATAATCAAAAAGGAATTGTATATAAATATTTTTTTTTTAATTAACGAAGGTTTCTTGTTTAATGACTTTATAATAAAGGACAGAAATTCCCCAGCCATATAACATCTAAAGTTGATGCGATATCGACCTATTTTGACTTTGGATATTCGGATAGAAATTAAGTAACGCTATTTGCTATCAATTCAAGTAATGCAGTCCATAGTTTAAATATTGTTTCGTTTTGCTTTATTTGATATTCGTGCAAAAGTTAGTTTAACAGACTAACAGATTTTACGGTTAAATTCATAATTAGACGTTTTCAACACATTTACCGTAACGTCGTCTATCTATACGCCATAATTTGTAATTGGAAGACGATAATGTTTGGACGTTTTCGATAAGATCAAATAGACCGCTCCAACGCCGTATTTTAATTAGGCCAATTCTGTAATTTACACCATTCTCGTGAATTGTAAATATTGAATAACGACACGTTTTAGTTGTCACAACGAGTTGCCAGTTGCATGTCCTTTTAAGGCTGTGTAGGTCGCGTCGGACAGACCACGCAGCCATGTAAAGGTGCCTTGCTCATAACTTCGATGTTATCGAAATATTATATGTGTTACTCGATCCTTGCTTTCAGATAAGGCTAAAAAGCAGTTGCAAGAACGTGCATTCATTCTATGCTTCAAACAAACGAATACCATCAGATCTTAAAGCTACTGAAAAAAATCTAAAATGCCTTTAGTTAAAGTTCCTCCAAATGAAAACCTACTTGCAATTGGCTATAAACATTTCGACATTACTTAATCTATACTTATATATAAAGCTGAAAGTTTGTTTGCTTGAACACGCTAATCTCTGAAATTCATGGTACGAATTAAAAAAATCTTACAATGTGTTGGTTAAAAAATGTATCGAGGAATTGTTTCGCGTAAAATTGTTTTGTTATAGAATGCTTGGGCGTAACATTTGTTTCAACAATTTTATGCCCAAAACAATTTTACGGGGACGAAGTCGCTGCTAGCATTAGATATACTACAATTTAAACTATCGGTAACCAAATAGTTGTATTGATGTAACATTTTTAATACGATGAAAATGTTTTGACTGCAATACAACACCAAAATTGTAAAATCTGTATATAGAGATTTCGATTTTCTGCGATTAAAATTATAGAAATAGTAACAAAACGATTTATCAAATAAAATACTCTAACCAACAAGAGCAACAGCACAGAACGCCAACGATGCCGGTTCAAGTCCTGCCCGAACCGTAGAATATTCAATTTATTTAGTGCCATCATGTGCAATGACATGTGAATATTACATTTTCAGTAAAATATTAAAAAGTTATTGCTTTTCAAGCGCAGCCTCTTTTGAAATGTGAAATCCTGCATTTGATATTCATTCAGCATCCCTCGTGCGATAATTATGTGTAATTAATATTTATCGCACGTCGCGTCATCCTGTTAGATTAACCGAAGTGAGATATGCAACAATACAGCCTGTTTGATGATAAGGAATGGTTTCAATTTGTATAACTTTAATAGTTACGAATTCAAAACCAAATTTCAGTTCACATAACATTACGTTTTAGTTATAAAAAGCTGGTGGTTTTTGTAATGATAAAGGAGGACAGATATGGCATGGAGCTGACTTGATGGTAGGTGATATACCCCAGTCTATAGCATCTAAACAAGATATGTTGTCGACCTATTTTGGCTTTGGAAAAAAACTAAAAGACCAGAACTCTTATAACGCCACGCAATCTAACGGATATTTAAAAAGTTTCCAGCTAGCAGAGCAACTAAAACGCGATCTCCGAATCATAATTCAGTTAATTAAGAAGAATTTAATTTAATTGGATTTGTACGCGACGCTGAACACTTGAAACAGTAGAATGTAATCTAGTTCGTTTCGGCATATTTTCCCAGAGCAAACATCAAACGCGATTTGTTAAATTTTCTTAGATTTGTTGCCATGGCAACTGTCAGGAATCGATGTCTTCACAAAAGCCTTGAATGCGAAGCAATTTTCTCTTAATACAGTTTATGATAGTAAATGTTGAAAGCTTGGTAAAATCGCTATGCGAATTAAAACAGGCACATGCGATGCATATGCAACGCAAGCGGACGCACGCATTAATTAGCACATACTGTATGGGTTACGTGAAGTCGAGTGTAGTACCTTATATCCATATATTCTTTCGTCCTGCGGCAGGGGCGACTCGGTGCGGTGTCTATCTGACTCCCATCCTATATGCCAAGTATCCAGTGAATCTAACGAAGATTTCTTAGTATCGATAGAGCTCTTTCTTGACAGAGAACTGGTGGATCCCACGTAATCTCGCTTCATATCTCTTATGTTATTGATCGAGTCCCGGCGGTTATAGTTAACCACGTTGCAACGTGACAGATTGGGGTAGGAACCCATCGAATATCTTTTGCTATTCCTTTGGGTGGGACTCGGTGTGTCCCGTCTGGGTGGCGTTTGCGAGGGGCTGTACCGATCTCGGCGAAGGATGCTCGGAAATGTCGAGGGATGCTCCAGGTCCCGTACTGGGGACGGTGTGAGACCGATGGAACCCCTACGCCTGTACCAGATACGCGAGTTAATATACATTTTTATTCATAAAAATATTATATATGCGAAAGTTTGTTTGTTCTTTATTGAAACCTAATGGCACAGACGACTTTTAGTCCCAAAACATAAATAAATTCACGACTACTACTACTAATACTGGACTTTGTAGGTGAAAAACCATTCTTGGTTTAATCCTACTGGCAGAGCATGAGCTAGTAACTAGAGCTAGTAGCTAGATAAAAGGTCTCAATATAGAGAACATACGAACCTTATAATCAGTCCGTTAGTGGGTGATATACTTTCTCTAAAACCAGGTGTCGATTCCCGACTGTGAAGGTACAAAGATGACCGGTACGGAGTACTGCAGCGGCCATGAACGTCGCAATGGGGGTCGTGCTCTATAGTGGAGCTAACTAATGGGGAGTGTCGCCCTTCCCCCTCCAGAGTAAGTGTCCCAAACATGGAGTCCAGCTGGCGCATCGCCAGAGCTTTTTTCACTGTTGTCATCTCGCCGTCAAACGCTTTTCATTCACAAACCCCGCGCACAGTTACTCGCAAATCGAATACGCGAATTAAGAAATAGGTATGCCCTCCAAGTATGCCGCGGCGCGACTGGACTGATCGGACGGCATTGTGCGCAGAACGCTCGCCGGTGACTCACGGAGGCATGCGCGCGCGCAGCGAGTCAACGATTATCAGTGTCCTACAATTACTGTAGATATATGCAAATATAGGTGACAAGGAGGTAAATAAAAGCTAAACACAACACACTTATTAATAACAACTTGTATCGCGTAGGCGCGGCTTCAAGTTCAGACGAAGGTCGCGCGCATGGTTTTAATAAACACGAATGTTTCTTGTTATTATGTCACCAGCTGTTATATGTACCCACGACGTCGTCGTGTCCCATCGTTCTACATTCACATTTTTTGGTTTCTTGAACCGTTTTGCGCCACGCACGCAACAGACGTCCTCAGAGATAATTTTCCCCGTTTTTTTCACATGTCCCTCAGTTTCATCGCTCCTGTTGGTAGCAGCTTGTTTTAAACCTAAAATCTTCCTTAATAAATGGTCCAACCAACACAAAAACATTTTTTTAAGTTCAAACCAGTAGTTCCTGAGATTTGCGCGTTCGAACAAACTCTTCATCTTTATAATATCAGTAAAGATTTGTCATTAAATCATAAAACTATACAATTATTAATAGGACAAACCTACGCTTCGCGATTAAAATTCAAATGGAGGCATTACGCACGGCGGGAGCTCTTAGAGCTAACCCGTTTACCTACCGTAATTCTTACCTAACTTGCGAAGGTGCTAATCTAGCGATGGTATCACCAATTCAATTATCTCCACTTAGTCTAAGTGAATTTAACTGTAGCATTATGACCGATTGGTTTTTCTATGTCATAGGCCACTTTGTAAGCGTTAGCTCGACTAAAATTATTGGCGTAATGATTATTTTATTTAGAGTCTAAGGCTGAAAATCTGTGTCGCAGCTGCAACTTATGCTGACTCAAGACCCTGTTGGCATCATTTCCGTCAAATTAAATTTAATCTTTTTTTAAATACTGTCTGTAGTTTACGCGAGTAGTATACATTTAATAAAAACACTTTAACGGTTCAAAACGCGATAGGCCCCAAGAAGACGGCTGCTGCAAAGCATCCGAAACGTTCGGCCGTAGTTAAAATACTTTTTAAACAAGTTTAACTAAAATATATCGCATTTTAAACCGTCGTAATGGTTTATTTAAATTAATATCTTTTATTGTAATTATATTTAATTTTTTCTATCATTGTACTAAATGAATGACAAATAAAGAGATTTATTATTATAACAAGGCTACCACTGCACTAAGCGTCAAAACAAATTGTTTTTAATAGAACACGGCTGCTAAAAACAATTTAAAAAACTCAGGTCATAGTTTAACACTATTAAATATATATAATGCTGTATCACCATTCTTTGTTTAATACTCACTACTGATTCCCTCTACTACTCAGCATTTAGCACTGGTGTTAAAACTGTTTATTTCTAAACTAGCCATAGACATCAAATTAAGTTGTTACTTTTATTATTAGTGGTAGTACATATGTCAAGCAATAAGTGTCAGGAATATGACGAATCAAGACTAACAGCTGTAAGAATTCTAGGATACGTGACGTCATAAAGGAGGAGGGGAATGGAAAAGTTAATTTATCGTGTGACGTAACTAATGGATGAGCTTATCAGATTGTAATAAAAACACGTACTCAATTATTATAGATAACACAACTTGTCTACATTTTTAAGCAACTTCAGTAATCGAGATATTGAAAAGTTACCACAAGTGGGACACCGGTCACCTAGGTTGTACAGGTATCTACCAAGTGGTTGAAGCTGATGTGTAATACATTCTTCTTCAAAGGATAAAGAATCCTTACTAATATTATAAATGCGAAAGTAACTCTGTCTGTCTGTTACTCTTTCACGCCAAAACTACTCAACGGATTTGAATAAAATTTGGTACACAGATGGTTTAGACCCTGAGAAAGAACATAGGCTTACTTATACTTTTTATTGCGAAAAGGGGGCTGTAAGGGGTTAAAAGGGGGGGGGTGAAAGTTTGTATGGAAATTCGTGGTTTTTAAAGCTGGAACAATGAAACTTTCTTCTTTGGCTTTTTGGGAATAGGAGTGGGAGTTGGAGTGAGAGTAGGAGTGCAAGTTAGAGTAGGAGTGATGTGAGGTGAGAGTGTTGCGGCAAAGTATTCCGTGCTGTTGCTCTACCACGCTACTAGGTAGGTAGCGTGGTAGAGCGACAATTTATTTTCGGTTTTTAAATTATATAGTGCCTTCATGTGCTAAAATAATAAATAGTATTGTAATAGTATTTTCTAGAATCACGACTAAAACTAGCTGTATCAGCGACTTCGTCCGCGTAGAATAGTTATTTTCCTCCTCTACACATTTATAAACTATAGCTGTTACCCACAACGTCCTCCGCGTCTCGTCGTTCTTGCAAGTCAATCTCAAAAGACAGAAATATAATGTCGCGGACATTTTTTTCCATCATGTAGAGAAGAATAACTCTTTTAAATAAAACACTTTAACGGTTTAAAACGCGATATATTACTCCCCGTGACCACGGCTGCTGCAAAGCATCCGAAACGTCGGGCCGAAGTTAAAAATCATTTTCAAATAAGTTTAACTAATATATCGCGTTTTAAACCGTTAAAGTGTTTTATTTAAATGTGTACTACTCGCGTAAACTATAGACAGTATTTAAGAATCATTCTTTTATACATATTTTTGGGTAGGTATCTTGAATCGTTTTCGTAGCGTACGCAATGGAAAACCACAAGGCAGAATCATTTGCCTGTATTTTTTATTATATTTCCCGCTGTTTCTTCGCTTTTTTAAGTCGCGATGTTTAATATAGACCTTCCTCGATAAATACTCTAACCAAACCAAAAAGATTTTTTTCAATTCGAAGCAGTTGTTCCTGAGATAAGTTAAAACAAACAAACAAACTCTTTATCTTTATAAAGTATAGAGTAAAGATTTAAAAAGATCCTCTGCCTCGAGTTTGCAAACATGGCTGTGCATTTGTCTGGCATTGAACTCTTTGAACCCGACATCTGTTACGTCTGCGAATAAACGATGTATACTGGAATATTAATCATACTAACTTATACAAAGAATTGGTCATATGGTGTATTTTTTCTAACTTGTCATTTTTGGTGGTTAGCACTTAAGAACTACGTCAAATTCACTTAGCAAAAACCACAATTTAATGCTAATATAAAATAAAAAACCAAGAATTTACGTAAAAGAACAGATTAAAAATTAATTATTTTGACATTTACATAAGGATGGGATGCGAGCATAGTAAATGGTAATAGAAGATAGAAGTCCCACTCATGCACGATAGCTGAAAAGTGTTACAAACGTCGAGTTAAATAATAATGACTTAAAAAATTTAAAAGAATCTTCATACAAGTGATTTTGAATACTGTGGTCGTTTGGTCCATGTACAATCGATATTTCTTTTTACCTGTCATCTCTGGCAACAACTGCACACATAAAAGGTCATCACTAGTTCTCTTTGGTTTGAAATTGGTCAATTGTTGTGGTCTTTTGCCAAGTTAGAAAAATACACTATATAGGAATGTGGCCCGACACAGCGCCATAACGTTTTCTTGGTTTTAAAAGAAGTGCCGTGAATAGGCACTTCTTGGAGCAAAGGGAAGACATATTTCTGTGCCCTGCCCGACCGAAACTATAAAGTTTTCCCGACATTAGAACTTTGGACATGCCATGAACGTACCACGTACGTTAAGCCATTAAGCTACAAAATCCAAATTCTAGTTTTTATATAATAACATGGTTGACTCCCACGTTATTTAGTTGGTTATAGAAGTATAGGTATATATTACGAATGAAATAAATAACAAATACGTGAAGATTCTAGAAACACAGAAAACAAATAAGATTGAACAATACTATAATAACGTCATTAGCGGATGTAAATACATGACATAAAACATAGGATGTGCATTTCTTGATGATGTCCATGTAATGTAGAGACGCTAATAATAGTTAAGCACGATCACATGGCATGAGTTTCACTGTTGGTAGGTATACTTCAGCCTATAACATCTATACAAGATGCGCTGTTGGCCTATTTTGGCTTTGCATATTCGGAAATAACACACTGAAGCCGAAACGCGATTAAACTTCGAGGCTTTTTCATCTGTGGACGTGACCTGGAAGGAGTTTCTATATTCCTACCAAATCAGATCAGTTGTCAAATGTGAGGACTAACTACGAAACACAATTATTTTTAAGCGACTTCAAAAAAGAGGATCTGAATTAGATTCCTACGTGCGTTTTTTTGTTTGTTCACACATAACTCCGTCGTTTATAAACCGATATTAATTAGTTTTTTTATAATATCTTACAGTTTTGTGTCTCTTTCCTTTTTTTTTAAATAACATATTGCTAATGATATATATTTTTTTGCATTAACATTTGTGTATTTTTTATTTACTGTTTCTGTGTACGTAAATATGTGTAAAGATCAGAACACGAATGAGAAATAAATAATAACGGTTGGAAACTGTTTAATTAATTATAATATTTAAATTATCATTTAATTTAACTAAGTGTCAAGAAGATCTCCTGTCTCCCCGTGATTATGGCTGCTGCAAAGCATCCAACGCCCGGCCATATTTAAAATAATTTCTAAATAAGTACGTATTATATTTCTCGTTTTAAACCATTAAATTTAAAAAAATCATTGCTAAACCTGCTATAGTTAACTAATTAAAAATACTTTTTATTTCCGCCGAAAATTCCTTGATTCTCATGAATGACGTAATGATGACCTTAAAACCATGAACAAAGGGTCACTCTCCACAACTCGACATTAATGTACGGTTGATAATGCCACGTCCGCGAAATAGGCCGAGATTGCGTCTTCAATATGTCATAATTACTTATTCATAAACTCGTGGGCGAAAGTAAATTCATGAAGGTTTTAAAAAATATATGTTTGTTTTGACCCACTCACGATATACTTTGCTTAAGAGAACTACTCTTAAGTAAAAAAATTAAACCCCGTTTACCCCATATTCATAGGGTAGATAAATTCTGGTACCTGTTTGTTATTTATTTCTGTCTAGACTATATCATTTAGGGTAGACAGGTCAAGGCAAAGAGATTTCATAAATATAGTGGAAACATTTAACAACGATCCTAAATGTTTTTCAAATCAACTTCGACCTTCTTTTGACAAGTTGACAACAAGCAAGTCTTAAATTTAAATATATTATTTATTACACAAAATAATAAAACTTATATGCTAGAATGGATTGAAACGAGCGACCTTATAGTTAGCAAGCGATCTCTTCCAGGCAACCTATAAGTATTAGGAGATGTGTAAGATACGCGAAATACACTAATACAAACAAAATATTATAATAAGTAAAAAATATACAAAACTTAAAATATCTTGAACAAAAGAACTCAATAAATTGTAACTTGTTTTTACGACTGTCTTGCATTTTTTAAATATTACTTGTAACAGAACATAGCTCTAACCAATGTAATGGTTTATGCGGTAAGCATTTTCCAAATGTTTGAACGAAATAAAAACTATTGCAAACTATCGTTAATCCTCCGCGATTCACTTTTGTCTAAAGCCGTTCTTTCCGCATAAATTTCGAGTTTAAACAAATTAATTGCCCACGTTGTAAATTCGGCATGAAATGAGCGCAAAAGAAAGAGAAAACAATTACGAAATCACACTTTCTAAGACTGAATCAAATCGGTCGCATTTTCGTGCATCAAAATTCCAAACGAGTCTAGTGCAAGGATTGTATTAGCGCTATTTACATAACACACATCGATAATTAATTGAAATGATCACCAGCTTTCTATTAAAACGCTTTTTATCGTTTATGTTGCAACATGCTAATTATGACAATATTATTGAATTTAATAAGCGAAAGCTTTTAGCTATCAATATAACATTTAATTATCATTAATTAATAAACAAATTGGATTATTACAACACTATTAATTATTCATTGTGATAGTAAAAATATGATTCATTGTAATCCCATTTAAGATATGCCAAAGGTTAATATGCAAAACCTAAATACTGTCTATCGTTTACGCGAGTAGTACACATTTCAATAAAATACTTTAACGGTTTAAAACGCGATATATTTGTTAGCCTTATTTGAAAGTGATTTTTAATTTTAATAAAACGCTTTAACGGTTTAAAACGCGATATATTAGTTAAACTCATTTGAAAATGATTTTTAACAGTCTCCCCGTGACCACGGCTGCTGCAAAGCATCCGAAACATCGGGCCGAAGTTAAAAATCATTTTTCACATTAGTTTAACTAAGATGTGGCGTTTTTAACCGTTAAAGTGTTTTATTTAAATGTGTACTACTCGCGTAAACTATAGACAGTATTTAATGATTTTTAACTTCGGCCCGACGTTTCGGATGCTTTGCAGCAGCCATGGTCACGGGGAGACTGTTAAAAATCATTTTCAAATAAGTTTAACTAATATATCGCGTTTTAAGCCGTTAAAGTGTTTTATTTAAATATGAAAACCCTGTTGTAATGCCCGTTTGTATCGAGTTTTGTTAATTAAATTTTTGTTACAGGAAATCAATTATATTGCTGCAGGTTTAATTTTTGGGTAAGCGTATATATGCATTTAAAGAAGACAAGCTTAGTGTCACGAGTACTGTAGGAATGAAGTATATGCTTGCTTTAAGGTTGGAGGAGTCAAGTCTAGACTTCATAAAACATGAACTTGATGGATCTGTTATACCCCACACTAGTATGGGTTTTTAAAGAGTACGTTATTCTTCTAACTTCATCGGCAGAAACGGTACAGCATTAAGCATTCGTGAATAGTATACTAAATTACTCAGCCTCTTTCCATCCTCCGGGAACACTGTCAAAGGTCTCAAATTAATATATCGAATAAAATAGATTCGGTGAAATAAATAATATCTTTTTTTAATGACAGAGGAGGACAGTCTTGGTTCACTTGATGATTTTACCATCACCTCGGCCTATAGCATCTAAACAAGATGAGCTATCGATATTCGGATTCCACAGACTGACACCGACACGTGATTAAATTTCACGGCTTATATCTGTGGATGGTGGTTCCTCTTATCAGATTTCACCACGGAGTCAAACATTTAAATTAGGAATGTTTCAGTCGGTGGGGATCGAATCCACGAACTGTTGATGGCCGTACGTTGCTACCATTACACCAACGAATCAGTCAAAGTCTTTTTTAAGTGGTTTCACAAAATCAGTGTAATAGAACGTCATATTCTTAAACTTCTAAATAAATTGTACTGCCGACGTGCTTTGGAAAACTAGAGACTGGTCACAACGACTTTTCTTTCCGTGCACTGTGGCATGAACCGAAAGGTATTATAATATTTCTACCACCTAAATAAGGTGCAGTTCCATTTTCGTTATTTTATTCGATTTAAGTCAAATAAATACAAATTAAAAATCGTTTATACATTATAAAAGATTACGACACGGGCAGGACTTGAAGCCACTTGACACGGAAGCTAGCGACAGCAGGGAACACTGTGGATGCCGGTTAAGTAATTTTTCAATCTAAAATAAATTTTTAATATAGTGCCATCATGTGCAACATGTGAAAAATATTTGAGTTTTCAAACGAAATAAATATAAATGCTGATAAAACTAAATATTAAATTTATTGTTTCTATATTGCCTGAGTAAATAAAAAACTATGGGTTAACGGAAGGTGTTTTACATTGCTTCCAATTTTATTTAATTAAATATAAAATAGGAATATAAAATATAGAAAATAATAATGCCTATATAACAACGAGCAATAATTAGGTCTAGCAAAGTTTACGCGTCAGCATCGGAGTTTGATTTTATAAGGCGCAGAGAAATACTTCAACTTGTGTATAATATGAACTACAAAAAAATTCGTTGAGTTCTAGACTATTTCATTGGCATAAATAAAAGTTGTTTCTTGAGTATAAGTTATGAAGTATTCCAGAAATAAAAACTGGTTCCTTACACTGCTTATCAGCATCATTAACTTTAATTGATAAATAAAAATATAGTAAAAAATACCTAAAGCTACTTGCACGGTGTTAGTAAAAAATATTTCGCACTTGGCGCGCGCAACACTAATATATTTATTTTAATTTTGTTTAATTTTACAGGAGGTACGATAGCATTACATCTCAATAAATGATAAATAGTAGTATTACAACATGAGGTAAAGAATAAAAAAAAATGTATGAGTTTGAATTACTTTAGGTTATAGTCAATTCAACGGACAAACAATAGTCTTACGGTGATGTTGCTATATAGGAAATATTACCAAGAGTCGCATTCTAATAGTTTCCAAAGAGAAAACTGTTCCTCGTGTATTCGGTGCTCAGTAATCAGAATATCGCATACCACACCAGAGTAAACACTGTGACGATCGTAGACAATTTAGAATTCCATCGAGCGGTGAGTGCAATCAATGGAAAATGCATTCGGAAAATTGTGCGCGCCGAAGCGGGACCGAATGGGGCGTCCAGAGAAAGAGCGCTCATATATCGCTTTGATGCAAATACCGTGTAAAATTTCATTCATAGAGTAGAATCATGTTACTTGTATATGCTTAGATTTAGATGGTTAATATAGAAGCGCAGTAGTGATAAAATAAGAACAGCTCAAGAAAACATTTAAACTTTACAACAAATATAACCCATATTTGTCACGCTGTGACCTCGATATCAATCAACTTGAAGAAAAAGAAGCAATTTTACTTACATTTAGAGCATCTTGCACTTCTATTGTGTCCGTCATCTCGTTTAGCCTGAAATATAAAAATAACGTTTTGAGAACTAAAATTCATACTGTCTCTAGTTTATGCGAGTAGTACACATTTAAATAAAACACTTTAACGGTTACTTTAAGTCTCCCCGTGACCACTGCTGCAAAGCATTCGAAACATCGGGAATAGTTAAAATAATTTTCAAATATATAACTAATATATCGCGTTTTAAACCGTTAAAGTGTTTAAACTAAAATTAAATTGTATTTGCACAATGTATCGTTGTACGCCTTTATATAGCTTAAAACATGTAATGTAAAATGTTGCCTACTGAAATAATGTAAAATTTTCACTGGGCCTGTTGAATAAATAAATTTAAATTTCATATCTGTATGCTAGAACTTATCGGCTTATTACACAGTTAACCAGCCCTGAGTGAACAAATAAAATTAAATGCAGTGCACTCTGGCGTTAAAAATACAGAGATAATATTTAATTTATTTTAAGATAACTCAACTTTCTCAAACGAGAATATAGAGCCAAATGTTTTATGCATTGTCGTTAGCGCATTAAGAATTCATTAAGACAAAGAAATTGTCTTAATAGAGTATATTTATAATTAAGCGTACCTCATACGCACTTCATCGTTACTGTTTTGGTTTAGCTCTGGGGTTGGTTTTGGATTGAATTTGACTGTAGTCGGTGTCGGTTCCGGTTCGTTGGATTGTTCGATACTGAAAATTATAAATATGGTATTTAGTAACAGCTCACAAATTATCTATTCTAATTTCTTAATATTAACACAATTAATTTGAAAGAACCACGACCGACCGTCGTGGGCAACAGTTTAAACCTATGAAGATGAAGAGGAGGTTTGCAAAAACAAATTTTGATGCCCCAAATAACTATTCTACGCGGGCGAGGTCCCTGATATTCAATTTACCCTACTTGGGCCATATGACAGATCTTCGCTCTAGCCAACCGAAATTATGTATTATGTTAAAAGATGTAAGTTATAAACAACGAGCTGACTTCCGCTACGACGGCCGACACTTAAACATACAGAATTAATAAAATGAACCTACGGTTTCTGCTGGCGCAGTTCTGATGAGCACAGGTTCCTTAAATAATCATCACACTCTCGCTGCTTCTGTATTTGATATTCCTTAAGTAGTTCACGTCTAAAGTCACCTTCATTTGGCATTAGCAGTGAGTTAGGTGGTGGTAGCTTTTCAGGCTGTGTTTGAGCAGGCCGTTGAGCAGCTGCTGTAGACACGGATGTAGAAACAGAATAATCATGGATTTTATGCTCCGGAGTGGTTGCTGTAGATGCACCAATACTGCTCTCATTAGTCTTTGATTCTCCACCGGCTTTTGTATGTTCGTCTATAGGATTCAAACTTTCACTAAGCAAATACATTTTGTCATTATTTTTCATGTCGAAAAGTCTATCCACTGATGTGTTCATTATTTTATTCCCTCGTATACCAGTAAGATGAAAGCCGGCAAAGTATGACGATGTGGGACCATAATCAATAGCCGACAGAGCCATAACTGCTGGATGTCGCGGCGCTCCATCTGGCAATGGCCGTAAGGATCTAGTCATAGCATCTGCAGCTGATCTAGGTCTTCTAAAGGGCATAGCTAAGTGAGGAAATGTGCGAGGTTTGATTGGTGTTACGAGCATGTGTTCAGTCCATGAGGTGTGAAGAGAAGGGCGTTCCAACTTCTCAACATCAACATCTAACATTCGTTGTTCAAAAGGTACACTAAAAGTTTCAGCCGGTATGGATTGCAACCAAGAGAGCAAACTGAGATCTGACTCGTCAAAACCCGAACCGTCCAATAAACGAGAGAACTTAACTTCATTTGACTGTGCTTCCTTGGATCCAGTGGCTTTAGCTTGGCAATAGTTAACACATGACTCATAGAGAATTCCTTTTATAAGCAATTGCATTAGTCTGTCATTCTTTGCACACTTTGGTAGAACACCACTAGATTTCTTATCGCAAGGTAAAAATTGCTCGACAAGGGGATAAACCTCTCTAAAGCACTGGACTCTGGCATTACTGGGATTCCATTTCTTAAATTGGGCATGATCTGTGATACTCGGAAGAGTTAACAATAGGCATAAATTGGAGTATTCTTCTTTAGATGGAGCAACTTTTTCTAAATCACCTAAAACTTTAACTACCTCATCGACGATATTCTCTACATTATTATACGCTTTTATTTCTGACCGTATACAGAGAAGTTCTATATACTTATGTCGTAGTATAGCATAATTAAATTTATCAACTTCAAACGCTTTTAATGAGCTAAGGGGCTGTATAAACTCGAGGACATCATCCCATTGACCATCCAAAATAAGTTGTCTCAAAAACAAGACATCATCCGCATAGTTGCCATTTATAACACCCGTCTCTCTTTCTAGGGACAACTGTGTAATGTGTAGGTCTCTATTATGAAGAAATTCCAAAGCCAAGCGAACCACATCATCCTCCCGCAGGTTCAGATGTGTTGAGGGCATTGTACCCAATCCTTACTTCTGTTTACCTTTAAGAAAACAACAAATTTCCATATATAATTTTATTTACAATATTTTTTTTCAGACATGTATAATCATGTTTCAAAAAATAATTATATTGACAGCATAAAAATGGTTTACTTAAATCATTTCTGCATGAGTCTAGATTTTTAAATAACGAACTCTATGACAATATCATTTGGGTAGTCTTAAAACTTTCGCTTTATTCTTTCGTGTATAATTAGTTACCACCGCGAAAGCCATCACATTGCATACATAGCATAATTACTGATGCATCTCTAAAGTCCGACACATACTTACATACCAGAGGGAGAAACTAATTACGATACTGACCACTTAGGCAAGCATTTTTATCACGTACCTATAATATAATTGGACTCGAAACACACTTCATTATTCCTTATAAGCACCCACCTACACAAATGACAGCCACAAAAGGCGGTACACTAGTACTAAACTATGCTTTGTACCTATATTATATCTCTTAATAATCACACGAAACAATTTATAACAAAAATCTAAACGATAGATGAGAAAACAAGAATTTAAAATCATTCGAATTTACATACCTAACGTTTATTTTCTGCGCTTTCGATAAATTCACTTATATTCTAATATCGATAAGAACACAGTTCTTCAAACGAAATTAATCTATATATATAACTTTTTCTTCACATTCAACAAAAGCTTTAAAAACATTACAGTAGCCAAGACACACGATTCACTGTTCACGAACGACTTTTCGTTTTTTTTTGCCTACCTTGATAATGCTCAAATCTAATGAAGATTTTGTCAATGACATTGACATTCTAACAACAGAGTTAATATATGGTTACTTGCTCAGTGATATAAGGTCACATATTTGATGATAGTTATCAGCAAATTATATTTTTTCACTTTAAATACGATGTTATAAACATAAATATAAACAAACATTTTTTTTGTTATTTAATTACTAAGCTTGGTAACCTATTAAAGATTAACTGTAATGTATATTGTTAAAGTAGTGAGTAAAAATATAATTGTTGCGAAGAGTTATGAGTATAAGTATTTCTTTCCGTTGTTATAAAGAAGGAAATGTTTTTTTAAAAGATATATTTGTATTCCTGTAATCATACTTGTGGCTTATCTATGAAACATGCTTAATCTGTGTTTATCATTCATATTTGAGCCGGTGACTATGTCTATGACTATCTCTACTTTGGAATATTGTCTTTGCATCGGAATAAATTTCATAGACAGTATCACAGTATATGTTTAGTATTAGTGTCATTGCGGCGGTTACTGAAATTTAGCAGTTGATTTTAACACTTTTATTAGATATATTTTTCAAAATGGAAGAAGACGGGGAGAGTATTCTTAAGGAAGACGATTATTATCAATTACTAAATGTTTCGAAAACGGTAATCATCCTTATGGAAAAATATACTATTTCACGATTCTATCGTATTGTTGCAACATTATTATATAACTCCGAATTTAGAATACTTTATTAAAATCGATTATTTATTTATTAATAATATGACCATATCGTTACTTCCATAAATACTTATATAGGTCCATGTTGGTTGTATCTAATATGTAAAATTTATTTTAGGTTAGGTAGGACTTTAAACATTCATTTCTAATCTTAGCTCTTACCATTTAAAACAAGATTTAAAGTGCAAATTATCAATCTTACTTTGGTTTATTATCTCTTGTATTTAATGACTAAATAAACTCAAGATATAAATAAATATCTGCTGAAGTATTAAAAAAATATATTGTAACTTTGTAAACATGCTTAGAAGATCCCTTTTTTTTATTTGTAAATCGTAGGCAGCTCCAGAGGAAATAAACAGTGCCTACAGGAGATTCTCCCGCATGTTTCATCCTGACAAACACAGTACAGATCCTAATAAACAGAAATGGGCAGAACAGATATTTAACAAAGTCAAAGAAGCTTACGAAGTGCTTTCTGATCCTCACAAAAGAGCTATCTATGATACATTAGGTATAGTACACAATTTATTTTATATATAATTTCTATATTACACTTAATACATTGAGCTTATGCTGGCATATTTGTCATTTTCTAAATATTTCCTTTTTAGGCAAGAGAGGCTTGGAAGTTGATGGTTGGGAGATAATTTTCCGCACTCGTACACCTAGAGAAATAAGGGATGAGTATGAAAGGTGAGTAGCAAATTGCTTTGCTCAGCACTATAAAAGTTCAAATTTCATTTCATATATTCGTTAATATATCCCCTGACTAATGAGATATCAAAAAACTACTTGTATTTTATACTTGAACACTTAACAGTTTGGAGTCTATGCGAGTGGTACACATTAAATAACTATCTAAAAAACTGTCTTTTTGCCTTACATGTAACTCGACATCATATGTCAGCTAACAATGTGGATGAAAAGCTTAGGAAGCTTATGTCTATTGGAGATAGAAACTTAGCTCTTTTGATTAAAATCATCATGTTACAATTATTGTTTTATTTTTAGGTTAAAAAGAGAAAGAGAAGAGAGAAGACTTCAACAAAGCGCAAACCCCCGAGGCACAATAACCCTTTCCATAAATGCAACGGATATGTTCACTAAATATTATGATGAGTATGAAATTTTGTAAGTTTTTGTTTTCTTTTTGGTTTGTTTTTTTTTTTATTTTTTTACTTGTATTCTTATTATTTGTTTATTATTGTCGATTTATGTTTAAAAATTTGTTTTTACATAAAAAAACATATTTTCTAAATTTTTAAAATATGTAGTGCATTTTAAAATGTCACATAGTTTACGATCTCATTGTAGATTTTTTGGTGTCTGTCAATAATATATTATGAAACTTCTTTCAGGGAAGAACCATCTCTATTTCCCAGTATTGAAGTGTCCGGTATGACAATACAACAATCAATAGACGCTCCTGTCACTCTAAGAAATACTGCAACTCTATCAGGAAACATATCTACTCAGAATGGAATTGGTAAGAAAATCTATTTTAGGCAAGTTTAAGATGTATTTGTGTCAAGTATAAAGCTGATATAGAAAATAATGCTAATATTGCTAACATTAGTCTGTCGGTAGCAATGTATCACTTATAATCAAACTCACAACCCTCTGTTGGGAGATTAATCCCCACCGGGTCCACCATGTTTGTAATGTGGATATAATTGGGTGGTAGGAATATAAAAATTCTATCCAGATGACGAACCACCATCAATAAATGAAAAAGCCACCAAGTTTAATTTATTTTTGGTTTCAGTGGGTAATGAAATCCCTCCTTAGGCATGGGGCGAATACAGTTTTGTGTTCGTTTCCCTAATCCGTTTTTAACAGACAAGTAGTTGATCAGACTTCCGTGGCCTGCCGGACCGAAAAATTGACGTCTTAGTTCAATCTAAATCCCGACTAAATTATGAATGGGCAGGAATAATTGAGAAAAAGACATATGTTGAAATATTTCAAATCTAAGTATTAAATGGCTAGAATGAATGTCAAAATGTTGTGATATGGCGCATATCGGGGATGTTATGTGGATGGGGTTTTTTAATTTCCCTTATTAAATAATATGAAGCCTATCTCTCAACCTATATTTTTAAACTCTTTATTCAAAAGCTGGACTGTTTCCAAGAAAAAAGATATATTGAATTTTTTGTATTTACTCTTTTGTTCTGTTAACAGGAAGTGGTTCAGTGAATATATCAAACCGGCATCTAAGTTCAGAGAGAGGTTGGACAGAGTTAGAATGCGGTATCGGTAATGGCCCAGTATTAGGATTTAAGATATTCCGAACCATTTCAAGACTCATGTTCGTTAACTGCGGTACCGGGTTGCAATTTACACCGCGAGGTATTGTTCCTACTCTTGTGTCAAGTAAGTATGAATACCAACATTTAAATTATCCTTATTTTGGTGGTGTAGCAATGTATGGTTAATAATCAACGGGTTGTGGGGTTTACAACATTTATCTAATCAATTTATAATTTTTCTGACACATGTTGGACTTCATCGGGAAATCTGGATATTAAAGATGTGGTATTATTACTTTTGAAATTTCGTCCGGGTCACGAACCACCACAGATGAAAAAGCCATGAAGATAATCACATCTCCGAATATTAAGAGTCCAAAAATAGATCGACAGTGCATCTTAAATACTGTCTATAGTTTACGCGAGTAGTACACATTTAAATCCCCCCCGTGACCACGGCTGCTGCAAAGCATCCGAAACGTCGGGCCGAAGTTAAAAATCATTTTCAAATAAGTTTAACTAATATATCGCGTTTTAAACCGTTAAAGTGTTTTATTTAAAAGACAGTGCATCTTGTTTAGATATTATCTGGCTAGTGTTTCACCTATCATTAAGTGAAGCTGATGTTTGTCACTCCTCTTCTTACATGAAAATAACCAGAACTTTTATTTTCTAATACAACATTTTTAGATTCTCTACTAACTAACAACATTGGACTTTTGAAAACTTTATAATTTTTTACATGTTATTGCACATGAAGGTACTATATATTTTAAAAATCGAAAATAAATTGAAAAAGTTTTCGACTCGGGCAGGACTTGAACCGGCATCGTCAGCGTCAGCTCAATTGGAGAGCAACAGCACGGAACGCTGACGATGCCTGAAGTCCTGCCCGAGCCGACATTTTTTTCAATCTATATTCGATTTTTAAAATAACATTGTACTTGTCTTTTCTTTGTGATGAAATAAAAGATTATGATAACTGTCTAAAATTTATAAGAAGCTTAATTAAATTTAATCAATTTATTTCAGCTATGGCCCTACAATTAGACGCTCATTCAGTTGGCTATCTAACCTACAGAGGGGGAGGCCAAGGAGGATCATCAATGACAACGACATATGTCAGAGACTCGGAGAAGTACCACTTGAACTCGGCAATACAAATTGGAAGCCCACACTCTTTTATATCATTCAATGTTATGAGAAAGCTCCCACAGCATGATATGAAATTAAGACTCGCTCTGAAGTAAGTTAATCGCTGTCATTTAATTCTTCAAAAATTAAATTCTACTAAATCGCTTAAAGCCTGATGTAGAATTTAATGAGAAAGTAGCTTGCAACCTTGAGTAGTATTTTACCTATATGCTCCATACATTTCCCAATGCTATTCCTTAGATAAAAGTATATTTTAATTAATATCATTTAGATTTTGTGTAAAAATGCTTATTGCAAAGTTTTCGATATAGTTGTAAGTACATATCATATTTGTGTACATATTATATCAAGTAGTATGTTATGGTCAAGCACTTTTGTTTATTTAATATTAATACATAAAAATATTCAGTATAACTTTGAGACTAGTTAAGTGTATCTAAATCCATGTTTTGCGAATCTGCTGTGTTTAAGCGAAAGTATGTCAATTTGTAATATTTGTGGTGTTTCATGTTAAGAAGTTACTTTTTTATTTTGTTTGAAAAATTCTAGCTAGAAATAGATTGTTTTCCAATCTTTGAAATGAAATACCAAAATTATTTATGATGACCTTCTCTATAGCATAAACTTGTTGCTTACCATTGTATTAAACACGAGAGGTCCTGGTTGCGAATCCCGGGAAGACGTTTAAATGTGTGAAAATCTGATCAACTTATTGACTTTAAATAAAATTTATCTATATATGTGTTCGCCCACGATTTCAGTTGTTGACACTGATCGTCGAAACCTGATGATTTGAAGAACCGCGGCATAACTCTTGGAAATAATGTATTTATACAATTTAGTGGAAGCAATTTAATACAAGTAATATTTAATTACAAAATTTCATTACCTTGAATTTTAAAGTTCGAACAGAAATAAATAAGAATGTACTAGTAAAAGATATGTGTTAAGATTTTTAATCGCGAATTTTTGCTTTATATTGATAATCCAATTTAAAAATGTGCTACACAACATTTGCTAATATCATGTAAGTGATAGAGATGCGATATAGATTTGAATTTTGAAATTTTAAAGTTATCAACGCAACGAAAACATTACCTACATATTTCGATAGCCATAAATAATTAAAACAAGAATAATATTTTATTAAATTTATTGTCTGAGCGAACGGGCTTTGTCCTGTTTATATTTGCGAATCCATGTGTTTTCCTAGTGTATGTATTTTGAAAGTCCTACTTCCAACTTCTTTACTAGCAGCATCTATACAATGACCATTTCTTTTTCCAGATTCGGTACCTTCGGTGCTATAGCAGAATACGGTGCTGAGAAGAAAGTGTCACAAAACACCAGTGTGTCGGCGGCCGTTATGTTGGGTGTGCCCAGTGGAGTAATGCTTAAACTCAAGTGAGATCTGTTTATATGAGCAAAATTTAAGGACGTTACAATCATAATTATGGTTTTACTTTGGCTAACATAGGAAAAATAAGGCAAAGCCTGGCTAAAGATAATATATATTTACTTTCATATTATATATGAGTTAATAAAAACAGTGAGCACGCGTGAAGAGCAAAGTTTCCGTTACTTAAATGAGCGAGAGTTCTTGGTCATTTTATTATAGGATTTCAAGTGATGGCTAGATTATGCTTGTTGAATTCTAAATAGACATCCCTCATGAATATCAAAAACTTCCCCTGGATTTCTCTTGTCTGTAATTATCATACCCGATTCCTTACAATAGACCTACTTTGTTAACATTTGCGAAAAAAAAAATGAAGCATATATCTTTTTTTTATGAGAGAAGAACGGACAAGTATGAGATCCACATGATATTATGTGCGCCCCAGCCATGTAACATCTAAACAAAATGTGCTGTCGACCCAATTTGGTCTTTGGATATTGTAAACGTCCTTTCTGAAGTCGGTTAAAAATGATAGATTGTAGCCACGCTTACTTAAAGCTCTAAGTTTCTTTTTTGAACCATAAATCTAATAACTAATAACAAAACACATTATTTTTAATAAGGAGAAAAATAAAAACTTACTAAACTTAGGCGAAAGCAATTTAACTATTTATTACTTGTGAGTTTAAATAAAACACTTTAACGGTTTAAAACGCGATATATTAGCTGCTGCAAGGCATCCGAAACGTCGGGCCGAAGTTAAAAATCATTTCCAAATAAATTTAACTAATATATCGCGTTTTAAACCGTTAAAGTGTTTTATTTAAATGTGTACTACTCGCGTAAACTTATAGACAGTATTTTATTTGTGAGTTTTCGTTCAATGAAATATTTATTTCTTTGCAACGATTCAAAAAAAAAAAATTCAAATTTTTTTACACGTATAACGGCGTGGTTTGTTAGGTAACTTAGGATGTATGTGCATTATATAAAAAAGGTTGAACTTTTTTGTACGAAACGAGTTTGGTTACAAGACCCAAGTTCGATAGGAAGGTACAACATAACTCAACTATCGTGTTAACTTTATATTCACGAAACACAAACATATATAAGGCTGCTAGAGCCAGAGTGGCCTAATAAAAAACGTGATAAAGAGGAAAATAAAATGCGCAATTTACGCACTCAGCCTCTAGCGGCCTCAATTTATTGTTTAATTACTTTTAAGGTGGTCGTGTGCATCACAAACGATAGTAGTGCCAATACACCTGTGTGAGGAAGTGATACCAGCGCCCGTGTTCTACGCAACAGTTGTCCCCATGGTTTCGTGGTTGATGCTGAAGAAATTGATTCTGGATCCCATGGCGAGGGAGCGAGACGAGAGACAACGGCAGCGGTCGATGGAAGCTAATTTTGAAAGGTAATATTGGTCTTCTTCTTCTGTTATATTAGACTAGACTCTTTCTTCTTATGTAATATTAGACTAGACTCTTTTTAGAATCTTTAACGTACGTGTAGTTATTTCGGATTTCTTAACTAGATATAATTATTTAATTAAAAACGAATTATTTAGCATTCAATCTGTTCACCCTTGTAACGTTTAAGTAAACCACTTTAACAGTTTAAAACGTGATTTGTTGTTTTTACTTTCGTCTTCGTCGAGCAACTATTTTTTATTCATACAGCTTTAGTCATTATAATGTTTTTTTTTTAGATTACAAGAAATGCAAAGGCAAGCTAGAGCAACTGTAGAACTAATGAGGGAAACTTACTCGAGAAACAGGAGCGACGAGGAAAAGAAGAGGGGTCTTGTTATATTAAAAGCCTTGTATGGGAAACTTCCATCAGGTACCCATTATTATAAACAAGTTTTTCTTTTAATTTTTATGATAGAAATGGACCAACAAGCGCGGGCATTTGATTTGAGGCAAGATGAAATACCCAACCCGTATAACATCAGAAGAAAATTTTGCTGTGAACCTACTTAGCTTTTGTTAAAAAAAAAAATCAAATTTCATTTATTTATGTAGGTAACTAGGCACACTTGTGAATGTCATAAAACTACAGAAATCGACAGACTAAAACAGAAATCCGATTAAACTTGGCTTTTTATGTGTGCAGTGTGGTACTTGGCCTGAAGGGAATTTCGATATTTCTATTTCCCCCATTTAATATCCAGATTTCTGGAAGTTCAACACGGTTCAGAAAAATAATGCATACATTTAGACCCACAGGAGCGAACCCAGTTTTGTCTGTGGAAGAGGGTTTACTATACTTTGGTGTATCCATATCACTGTTCGATCTATGATAGTCGAGTAGGTAATACTACTAAGTAATACACTACGAGCCCCCCCCCCCCCCCCCCTCCTACAAATAAGGAAAAGTTGAAATACCAAAACATATGAAAATAAAGCAAATATCAGTCAATTAAAATGTAACCTGTTCTATAAGAAAATGGGGTTATCAGAAAATAACGTATGACGTCATTAATTGCTTTACCTCTCTGCAGTAAATATAATCTAAGCAACAAATTTTTAAAACGTGGTGCACAGGTGCATCTAGTCACGAAACGGCCGCTGAAGAGATCGGCGACGGCGCCACTGAGCCCCCTAGTCCTTACAGTGACGTGATTGACGTCACAATACCACTACAGTGCCTCATAAGAGATTCCCGCCTGGAACTTCTGGAAGCTAGCAAGGTGAATAAATTTAAATAACACTTTAACGGTTTAAAACGCGATATATTAGTCAAACTTATTTGAAAAATGATTTTTAACTTCGGCCCGACGCTTCGGATGCTCTCTGACTCCCCGTGACGTTATTTAAATGTATTGATTAGTTGAATAAATGCTATGGGAAATAAACAAGACGCGGTTGCTCTATGGGCTATCAGTCAGTAGCTTCAAGTCCCGCCCGTGTCGTAAGTTTTGAAACTAAAAGATTTTAAATTTATATTAATTTTCAGTTACTGTGCTACAGTATCAAATTTCTCGATAGAAGAATTAATAGCAAGTAATAATATTCTTGTCTCATTTCAGTCCGATCTGCCCGGATTCTATGATCCCTGCGCAGGCGACGAGAAACACCTCACGATTCGGTATATGTTCCATAACAACTTGCATGTATGCACGGTCTCTGATAAGGAAGCTGTTGTACTGCCTAGGACTGGTGAGTACTCGCAATACTTTGTCTAGTGTGCGTGTCTGTAGTGTGGGTACTATGACAGAGAAGAACAGACAAGCGTAGGATTCGCTTGATGAAAGGTACACACGAAATCCCGATCTATAAAACATTAAAACAGTATACGATGTCGATCTGTCTTAGCTTTGAACATGTGTCGTGAATTTCGATATTGCTATCATCCACTTATGTTCAGACAAAGTCGACCATGTTTTCAGAATTCTTATAATTAGTTTTGTAATTATTATTTATAAGTCATATATTGATTTAAAATAAAACACCTTTAACGGATAGATACGTTAGTTAAACTATCTATATTCTTTAAAGCTTACGCGAGAAGTACGCGTTGAAATAGAACACTTTAACGGTTTAAAACGTGAAATATATTAGTTAAACTTATTTGAAAATTATTTTAACTACGGCATACCGGCAAACACGAAGACATCGTTAGTCAATTCTGGAAGGACCTGGCCAGTTTCGCAAAATACCAACTACATCGGAACAGATGGCGCTAGCGTAGCAGCTTTTTATATTTGGGACACCTTCCATCTTTAGTCTCCCCGTGACCACGCCCATATTTCGCCCTAAAAAAACACTTTAACGGTTTGTTAAAGTGAGTTATTTAAATGTGACGTTAAATTTGTACTACTTGCTTAAACTACACATAAAACAAGTAACTTCTACTTTACTACAGTAGTTTTTATTTTTTCAGTGCATCGAATAAAAAACAGATCCTGATTAATCCGGCGCGCCAACCGCAGCTGTCACAAGCTGTCTGGGGCGCGGCACGGGGGCTGTGCATAAATCGGAACAAATCGCTAGAGGCCACTATTTGCTTTGTTAATATCGTAGGATCTATGCGCAAAGGCACTTAACCGTATAATGCGTGTACTACCCGCAAAAGGAAAACCTGACACATGAAATCAGTTTTCTTCACCAAATTACTTAGTACGATTTATGCAAATGAAAATGCCCATTCCCCACATCGTCTCAGGCCATTGACGGACGTCGAAAATTACTTTTCACTTCACACTATTTCAACATTCAACATTCATGGATTTTATATAAGATTTTCTTTTTACAATTCGTTGTTCGTCTGTGGCCTGAATTGGGCAGTCTAAGTAGTTAAACGTCGATTCATTTTCTGGTTTATCGATAGTTATTGAGGTATGATACGTTGTATGTATGATTTGATTAGTAACCTGAAATCAATGTTATTATGATCAAACCGTAATGAAATAAAAAGATAAATTAGGATTGTACAATTCGATTATATATCGATTGTTACTAACAAATAAGTTGCATTCGTTTAGTAAATTGCTTCCTTAAATTCGATTATTCATCGATTGTTATTTACAAAGCAGATGGATTAATTCCGTAAGTCGTTTTATCAAATTCGATTACGTATCTATTGTTATTTGCAAATAACTTTGAGCAAACAAAGAGCCTCTTGCCGTTTATAATGTAGATGTGCCTGAATTTTGAATGGAATGAAATTTTTAAATAAAACACTATAACGATTTAAAACGCGATATATATTGGTTAAAGTTATTTTAACTACACACGTGGTCTCCCCGTGACGACAGCTGCTGCAAAGCATTCGTCGGTCCGTAGTTAAAATAATTTTCAAATAAATTTTTTTCATGTTTATCGCGTTTTAAACCGTTATGTGTTTTATTTAAATGTGTACTATTTACGTAAAATACAGACTGTATGGAATGTAATAATTTAACAGAAAATATAGTTCAAATAGTGGCTTCAAACAGAACGTATTCATATAAATATAGCCTTTTGTAGTGCAGTTAAATCGTCGGTTAGAATCCAGAAAATTATTCCTTTATCCAAATTATCGTTTTGACATTCCACTGTAAACTTTAGATAGATAAACGATTGTTAATTAATACATTAAAAATAATAATGATACAAATATATTTTTTAAATTACTTGTGGAATTGAGTGATATGATAAAAAAATAATGCTATCGGTACCATACCATAACAGTTTATGTAAGGTATTATTGTTGCATATGCAACATCATTTAGAACAACAATATAATCAACAAGTTAATTTAGAAGCATGCATTTTTAAATTTAACTCGTCCATGGTATAGCTATCTATATAATTATTGGTTATCTCGTGATTGACAAGTAACAGCCAAGTGTGATGCACAAATTTTTAAGTGATGTTGAATTTTGTCAATCATAAGACGTGTTTTTAAGGGAATAGTTGTCTGGATATCAAGTTAGGTTGTATGATCCTCATATGCGTATGCGCAGGGCGCGAAAGCTAATAGTGCCTGACGATTCACCAAATAACGATATCCAAATATATATATATTTCCAAAAAGCGGAAGGATGTGATTAGAGAAAATATATTTTGGTTAGATTTATGGGCTGTATCATATGTTGTCATATTGCGTTGTTTTCGAAAGAAACGTTATTTAATCGTAAATGTTATAGTCTTTTACGGTTGCAGTTGCAATGTTAGTGTTTTGTATAGTTGTTTTTTTCTTTAATAAAGTTAAATATGATACTTATGTACATTTATTTTTACATCCTGGCTCAATGTATCCCATTTAATTAAAACGCGATATATTAGTTTAACTTATTTGAAAATGATTTTTAACTTCGGCCCGACGTTTCGGATGCTTTGCAGCAGCCGTGGTCAAGGTCTCGCCGTGACATTTTCAAATAAGTTTCACTAATATATAGCGTTTTAAAACGTTAAAGTGTTTTTATTTAAATGTGTACTACTCACGTAAACTATAGACAGTATTCAAGGTATCCCTCTCAAACATTGTGACGTAAAACTTCTAAACGGTAACAACAAAGAATAAACTTAATAAACGATTGCTGCGAGCGAAATTGTATGTTGAAGTTTTACTTCAGCGCCATCTGTCAAAAACTCAAGACACTACATCAAACTTGTCAATTGATCTAAGTTCAAATTTGAATCAAGAGATGTCATTACATACCTTTACAGCGTACTTCATCATCAGATTGATACATTCTACAAATTTTAGTTGTCCAATTCTATAATAGAGTTAACTCAAGTCACTGAAATATGTCTGATTGACTCGTTTGTTAAATTCTAAAATTTCATGAATCTAACATTTTAATTTTTTACACAGACTCGATCAAATATTAGTAACAGAACTTGTCTTAAAATTAGGATGTATAAAAATATAAGGCGCGGCTATAAAGCATTCAGTTAGACTGCAAACACAATACCTACTTGCAAGTATGCGGAAATAAAACAGGTATAAAAGCTGTTGTGTTCGTGAGGAACTGCACTAGATTGTAACCCCCTGAGCATAAGTTATACTCAGTTACATTTAGAAAATGTCTTTGTAATCAAAGACATTGTCTAAATGTAAGTTAAAGTCGAACCTCGGAAGACTGTTCAACTTCACATCAAAAAACAACGAGGAAAACTTTTTAACTTTTAGATGTAGCTCCAAAAAGCTTGACTTATTAGCATAAAACTTGACAATACCAAAGCTCTTCCAACTTACATCATACTAGATAGATAAAACGCAGAGTATTAGAAGAAAATCTCAAAATATCAGTTTTAACATTAACTAAAAAAAAAGCTATGTATGACGTTCTCCGTGACTCAGTAACACAAATAATAAAGTCTTAAGAGGCGCGAGGCGTCTCTAGGTTCGAGTCTGACAAAATGGATTTTTTTATAGTGCTCTTATCGAGCCTTTCATATCTACATGCCACAGAAATATGTCAATTCGTTAATTATTATAGCAATTAGAGAAAATTACGACGATAATCATGCGGTTACGTCGCTTACACTCAATTGAAGATTCTTGCCAATGTTTAGGGTACATTAGTTTAGTACATCGCACTTTAAATTCCTCACGTTAAATTAAATGTTTTCTTTGAGAACGCGAAATTGTTTCTTCATTAAATTTTTTACATTTTAATTGTAGATATATGCGTACAAAGTTAATGGACGTAGGAGAAATCTGTTCCAGTAAGGCAGTTGTTTAATTAGTTTAAAGATTATCAATGTCAAACCATCGTACGAGAAGCGACCCGCGCCCCCTCCCAAAATTTTTTCGCCCCAAAATTATTTCTGATTTTAAGAGAATTTTTTGATTATTTAAAGAAAATATTCTTTGGGTAATTTGAACCGTTTTGCAGCACACGCAACGATACTCTCAAAAATGAAAAAAAAATACCCGTCCTTTGAACATTTTCTATTGTTTCTGCGCTCATATTGGACGCAGCGTGACGTTTTATAGACAACCATAACAAAAAATAATTTGACAATTCGAACCAGTGGTTCCTGATATTAACGCGTTCAAACAAACTCTTCAGCTTGATATATTTGTATTCTTCCTAAACCCTTCTACCAGTTCTGGGCTTCAACAGTCCACTGGTCACGGGCTCGTGATGAAAATAAGTTAAAACTCATAAAAGATTTTTGAACTATGTGTACATACAACAGCGAACAACACAACAGTTTCAATGCAATCGAAGCAGCGAGTACTACAAAGAAATATCCTAAAAATAATTATCTAGAAATTGGCTTCGTGTCTGTATCTTTGTTGAAATATCACGTGTACCATTGTGTGCAAAATTTCAACTCGATCGCTTAACGGGTATTTTGTGCCGCGGTCATGTCATTTGATTTTTAGATACCGCCTTCGACATACATCCTGGTGGACTCAAATGAAACAAAATAACATTTGTTTTATATTTTGGTTATATGTCAAGCGTGGGGCATCATTGAAAATCGGCGTTATACTGCAAGAAAATCCGAGTGGTTTCCCTCCAAATACATATATTTTATTATTAATGTCATTATATTTTTGCGTCATTAATAAAGGCTTCATAATTGCCAACACATATAGCTGAAGAGTTTTTGTAAATAACATATACGAGAAAAAAGTAATTATTGAAACAATGAAAATAGCCTAATATATAAAAAAGAATTACTGTTTCGTCTGGAAATCTGGATATTGAAAGAGTGGTGCGAATAGCGAAATTACGTACTGGTCACGAGCCACAGTCCACATTTAAGAGCTTAATCGCGTTTCGATTTCGGTCTCAAGATTTCCGAATATCCGAAGCCAACATAGATCGATAGCGCATCTGGTTGTGATGTTATATGACCAGGGTATATCATCTTCCAAGTGAAGTGCATACTTGTCTGTCTTCTTTTATGAAAAAAATATCCATCTCAGTGTTCGGAACTTAGTGTTAGTCGATAATTAAATACTGTCTGTAGTTTACGCGAGTAGTAGACATGTAAATAAAAAACTTTAACGGTTTAAAACGCGATATATATTAGTAAAACTTGTTTTTAAATTATTTTAACTAAACTCAAATCGAACTCAAACCATTTATTTCACAAGACAGAATAATTAACTTAAATAATCAACATTTATTAAAAAAAAAATGAAACTTGGAAGAGTGCTTGTGAAATGGGGGAAATCACTCGGCATGTGTTACAACCCAGAGAGAGGGAAGCCCCCCCCCCCCGGGGAACTACAAACTTTTAGTGAACTAAACCAAACTATAAAATTAAATAAACTTAGAATAATGTATGATGTATATTGGAATGTGTGTTGTATACTTTACAAAATAATAATAAAATTAAAAAGACAGGTCTAAGTTCTTGTTTAAAAAAAAAAAAATAATATATATATATCGTTTTGTGTACATGCAATTAGGAGTATGACTCTACTAATAAAAACTTTTTGTAATTAAGTTTAAAATCCCTTACAGTCTTAAAGACCCGTATTGGTCGTGGAAAATTGTTGCAACATTTCGTCGCATTGTACGCAAAACTGCCTCAAAATACCCCTGTACCATGGGCATTTTGAGGCCATATTCATCACCAAACCATAGTTTATCGTATAGATATGATGAGGCCTTAGATAGAACCACGTCAAATAGAAGGGATTCAAGATGTAGGTAGGCGTTGACTCTGCTCCATTCAGAGTACGCCAGCACTCAGAAGGAAGGGCGAGACATGAGTACGAAGTGGTTCTTAGTACGCGCTAGCAGCCTTGGGCCAAACAAAACATCGGCATACGTGAACTTTGAGAGGACCAGTGCATCATAGAGTTTTATACGAAGATCAACACTTGTATTTTTTCTTATCTTATATGAGGAGCACATTAACATGTTAATGTGCTCCTCAAACCTCAGTTTTTCATCAAATAATGCCTAAATTGCGAGCTTCTTTCACCCGTTCAATATTTACGTTAACGGGATGCTTTGCTGCCTCTCCCCGTGACCACACTAATATATATCGCGCCTTAAACTGTTAAAGTGTTTTATTTAAATATCAGTAGACCCTTTAGCGCACTCAGCACTGGAATTAACATGTTGAAATGAATTATGAGCTATAGTATCTGGCCTTCGAGAAGTGTCAAGTTTACCTGTCACAGAAAATAAATATGCACTTCCTCAGCTTGTAAAGAGTTGCATAATCCAAACAGTGACGTAACACTGAAACGTCCCATAACACAAAGGAAAATGAACTCTAAGAAGACAATGAAACCCGTATAAATGCAATTTTTCACATGGCACAACGGAAGCAAGTAAATGGCTGTAGAATAAAAGGACGTTAGTGTAATCGTATCATCTGTAATGATTACGACGGACGTGCAGCCTTGTCTCTCATAATCACTTCAGCGATGCACTGGATGCTCTTCCGCTAAATTCACTAAGTCTTGATGCGCCCCGTGAGGGTCGCAACATTGAGAAGCGTTGCCATAAATCAAAATAAAAATAAAATGTACTTTATTCTCTTTAAAGGTTTAAAAATTATTGACAATCGTAAAAAAAATAAACATGTTTGTCTGGCTATTCGTCGAGATTATACAGAGTGTTCAAAAGAGCAGCATAACCGAGAAGAACACCGAATAAACTCAGTCCGGCTTTTTTTAACGTATCTTAAAAACTAATACATTATTTATTTTATTTATTCACACTTTATTGCACAAAATTGGACAAAAATATAAACGAGACTTATATACTAAAAAATATGGAGTGCAATGGGCGACCTTATCGCTAACGAGCAATCTCTTCCAGGCAACCCAAGATAAAAGGGGTGAAAGGTTACGCCAAAACGAGATGTACGAGGTAAGCGAAATAAAATTTACAATCTTAAATATAATCTTAAAACTAACAAAACAAAACGTACACACAATTAAATACTGTCTATAGTTTACGCGAGTAGTACACACTTAAATAAAACACTTTAACGGTTTCACGGAATATATCGCGTTTTAAACCGTTAAAGTGTTTTATTAAGTAAAGTAACTTATTACACACAATTTCTAAACTTATCTACGGAAACTAAACCTAAATAAGAAAGATTACGAAACAATGTTAATAAATATTGATAATTTATTCAGTTGGGCAATTAAGCGACATAAAATGCTTGTAGAGGAGCCTTTTAAAGGATAGGAGGAAAGGCGCCATACGAATGGAGACGGGTAAGGTATTCCATAACCTGACCGCTATAATTTGAAAGGATTTTCATTGTTGTGAAGTTATTAACTTAAGGAGCAATTCATATTACTTACTGCCAAGCAGTCTTGTCAATCTATGATAATCTTTAGAGAGTTTGTTTGTTTGTTTGAACGTGATTATCTCAGGAACTACTGGTCCTAATTGAAAAAATCTTATTGCGTTACTTAGATCATTTATCACGTTACGTTTAATAGGAGCCGAGAAAGAAAAACGAGAAATTTTTTTTTTTTTTTGTGTAAATAGTCCTAGATACACAAAAAGTATGTATGAAAGACCTTTTCCTCAAATATCTAAGAAATGTTTGCGACAGTATATGTCTATCTTTTAAGAGCAATTTGCGAGGACGACGGGACGCGACGACATGGGTAACAGTTCAAATTTATAGAGTAGAACAGAAGGTTTGCGTAAACCGGACGAAGTTGCAGACACAGCGAATCCATTTATATAATTTGCTTATTTAGTTTTATTGATCAAGCTTCCGCTAACTGAAACTATGTGCGTACTGTGATTTCTCGGGATTCGAACCCTGACGCAAATCGTTCGACCATTGAGCCACGGAAGTGAATACGCGTAAAATACCCCCTTTTCCGGTTCATGGAGCGATCACATTTCTTTTAACGGGCAAGTAGTTGATCAGATTTCTGTGCCCTGCCTGACCGAAACAATTGTATGTTTCCTTGGGAATCGAACCCAGGACCTCTCGCGATTAACGCAATGCTAGGCAATACTTTTAACCACTTGGCTACAGAGGCCGTCAACGCTATGATAGCTCTTATAATAAATACAATCTTTAGTGAAAGCTGACCATTGGATAATTTTCTCCCTGTTTTTCCATATTTCCCGCCGTTTCTGCGCTACTATTGGTCACAGCACGATGGTTTATAGCGTAAGCCTTTCTTGATAAATGCTCTAACCAACACGAAATTAATTTTTCAACTCGAACCAGTAGTTCTTCAGATTAGCGCGTTCAAACAAAAAAACCAAACTCTTTAGCTTTATATATTAGTATAGAAATAAATATCGACTTTTCGTTCCCTCGTTATCGTATTGAAAGCAGTATGACATTCTCACAGTACAAATTTCCCAGGAATTTAATCAGCGCTCATGTGAAAAGGAAAATTCAACGGAAACTCGATCTATTGTATGGAAGCGTTTCAGGTTTCTGCGGCATGGTATTTGGTACCAAGGGATTGCATGAACAAAACATGGCTTGGTAAAACAGGTAAACCTTTACGAATATTATCTATACTATTTGTTTGTTTAAAAATCGAATTTCAGGAACTACTGGTTCGAATTGAATGTTTTTTTTGTGTATAGACCATTTATCGAGTAAGTTTCGAGGAGAAAGTAGTAGAAAAGTGGAAGAAAACGGGGAAAAAATATACTTCTTTGACTTGTAGGAACCAAAAGATATGTATGAAATTTTTCAATCAAATTTGATCAAAATTTATGCATTATTGTTACCAATTAATTATGAGAGTTGGATCATAATAAAAATCTTGCAAACAACAAGAAAACGTACGGTTTAGCTAATATAAAATAATAGTTAAAAATTATTTTTACTATTATTGTATTAAACTTAACGGAATTTGTTTCAGAGTTTAACTTTTTTGAACGTACGCTTTGCAGCAGCCGGATCACGGGGAGACTTTTATTAAAATAATTTTAATTATATTAATCGCGTTTTAATCCGTTAAAGTGTTTTATTAAACATGAAATACAAGTAGACGTTGTACGATAAGATTTGTTTTATGTACATCGAATGAATGGTGAGGTTAATCCGGAACAGCTCCGCTTTTTATTGGTGTTAATTAAAAACTAATTAACGTGCGAACAGAAACGATGCGGTCTTGACTGAAAATTGCACTTGCAAGGATCTTGGGTTAATTTATTATGATTGCGAATGTAATTTCGATTAAGGGGATTTTATTTTCTTATTGTTGAGGTGATTACGGTTTTACTTAGATAAGATGTGACGGGCTTGCTGGTCGAATGGTAAATGTATTGCTAAAGTACGTCACACGAATTTCATGATTTTTTTAACCCCCCCCCCCCGTCCTTGTCACGGGTGGTCACATTTCTGAGAAGTCCCCTCCCTAGTGTGACGTCACATGTTTTGCAATTCCACATCGAAAAATTATTAAATCAAAACAGCAGTTCCGAAATTAGTTTTATTTCGTTATTCGATAGAGTTGGAAATATTTTTTAGTCACGAAACTTAGGACCCCTTGTCACACCATGTCACACTTTGTCGACCCCCCCCCCCCCTTTACGTGTGACGTACTTTATGGATGACCCCTAATGATCAACGTCGTGGTCGTGAGTCCCCACCAGGTCCAAGATGTGTCTAATTTTTCTGAATGTTTCAGGATTACCTCTGGAAATCTGGATATTAAATTGATAGTTGGAATATAGAAATTCTGTCCGAGACTAATCACCGGTCACATGAAAAAAGGCAAGAATCGCGTTGCGGTTTCAGTCTATAGATTTCCGAATAACCAAAGCCAAAGCAGGTCTACAGTAGATCGTATTAGATGTGGTATTTCGTCTTTTATCAAATGAGCCCTTACCTTGTCTGTTCATGCATAAAAAATGTGTTTAGGAGAATAAATGTTTCGGGATTTCCTAATGACATTACACGGGTAGTCTTTCTTAGGTCTGATAAAAACCCCTTTAATTAGTATATTAAGATTGTCTCACTAAAATTCTATTTTTAACGCCGAGTTAACTTGTCTCGCACACTTATCTTAAGTATGTTACTGTCAAGTTCACTGGAAACAATTAGGATTGTTTCTAGAAAAACGATAAAATAATTTTGTGATAAGTTATGAGCAGCAATTTAATACACCTTTTAAATTGTATATACATATTTTTAGTAACAAATTCATTAAGCATGATCCAGTGTTCTATTTAAAAACAGAGATCAATACGTTTCTCTTGGTTTCGTGACTTTCTGTACGTTTCCTTGTCCACTTTAAAAAAAAAAACACAAATAAATTTAAAATATACTTATTAATTTTAATATCCAAGTCTGAAATAGATCGACAGCACATCGTGTACTGCCTGTAGTTTACGCGAGTAGCACACATTTAAATAAAGCACAACTTTAACGGTTTAAAACGCGATTTATATGTAAAAAATTATATATTTAAATAAGCTCAACTAATATATATTGCGTTTAAACTGTTAAAGTGTTTTATTTAAAGTAGAGTATTATAAAAATAAATTTAATATGTATATATTTTAATATTCAAATCTAAAATAGTTCGATAGCACATATGTTGAACTAATATATATCGCGTTTTAAACCGTTAAAGTGTTTCTCTAAAAAGCACATCATGTTTCGATGTTATATGGCTGGCCTACCCTCAAATGAACTCTATACGAGTTTCGCCTCCTCTATCATAAAAAAAATGCGAAATTTATCAGTGTCTGTTACTTGGAATTTGTTTCCACCACTTTAATCTTATTCGTCCTCATTGAAGCTATAAAAGGTGACTAATATGTTTGTTGTCTCCGTTTCAGTGTTAGTCACGATTAAGAAATTAATTGTAATTTTCCAACACGAGCATTGATGTTGCCGCTACTGAGTGCTTTAAGAGCTATCACGATATCTATTCATTAGTATACCTAAAGTCCGTATTAGACTAAACCGAAGCCATAACCGAATATTCGGCTTTAGAATCAACACTGAAGCTCAAACCGAGGATTGAAAAAGTCAGATAAGTTGGCTGCAAACATGTCATATGTTAAATTAACTGTTCGTAACAGCAGCAAGGAGGATTAATTAGACAATACATACAATATTCGACCTATTCAAAGTTCCCTATGTGAATTATAAAATTAAATATTTGTTTGAAAACTTTAATAATTTTCATGTGTTGTTTGGCATGATGGCACTATATATATACCGGCTATGGCACTATACTATACCGGCAGCTACAACGTTCCGTGCTGATCACGATAGCTCAAGTGGTCGGAGCAACAGCCCGGAACGCTGTGGATGTCAGTTCAAGTCCTGCCCGAGTCGTAAATGTTTTCTTTATAATGGATATTAATTTAAATATTTCTTATTTTTTACATGCGACCTGATATTCCTCTCATGTTGCGTTTCAAACCGTTATAAATTGATTTATTTAATGTGTGTCGTGCTCGTAAACTACAAAATGCATTCACCTCTTCCGTATCAGCTAAATAATATTTGCAAAACACCATTTAATTACGTGTTAATGTATTTGTTGTTTAAGTTGCGCCTTCTTAAGCTTAAATACATTTAACTATATATTTAGCCTTGGTTCTCTTTAACTAAGGTGTGCCTAAAGCTCTATAATATGACAGCGTCACTAACACAATTCACTAATTCCTTTGTAGTTTACAACGACAAATAGATATTTGAGACAAAAAATATCGGGATTCCTTAGCTCAATCGAAAATCATTTATTTAAAACTTACAAAAAATAGACAATATGTACTAAATTATAAGCTAAGCTAATATATATAAATATACAAGGCTTAAAATTAACAAAGGCAACTCCTAAAACAGGAGCCTCATAGTATAACGTTACGTAGACGCTTGTGTATCCCCTCATCGAAGCAAAATTCGATCGTGCAGTGCACTAAAGTTTGATGAATTTTTCTAAATAATTGATCAGTCGAAGTGAGAAAGATTGGCTCTGTTATAGGAGATTTAACTATTATTATCGCTTCGCTTGTATTTTTGTTATATATTAATATAAATTCTATAGACAAAATAATTGCGATAAACTTTCTAGGCAATGTTTTAAGGCTGGAAAAGGAATCTTTGTTCTATATTTAAAGTTAAAGAAGACAACGATTAAACTTCTACTTGTTGCGGTTTTTAGTTTTTTTTTAATAGTAAATACAAGTTATATAAAGTTATTCAGATACTTAAATTACAAATCATGTACCAATTACTAGTAATCAACCTGAAGCGACCATAGTATCTAAGTTGGTATATTAGTCAGCGTAGCTTAGTGGTTCAGTTTCAGAGCTGTTAGTATTTAGCGTTTGTATAGTTGTTGTGAATCAGCAAATTTTGTGTAGTATTAACAAATATATTTTTCATTAGTGATCTAGATGAGTGCCTAAGAGTGACATTAGCTAGATAGATACAGTCAGTTCAGTTAGAAACATCGTGATAACTATTTTGATATGTACGTGAGAGGATTTGAATCACGTCAGCCTTTTGGAAATCGTTTCTAAATCAGTCTTAAATAAATGTCACGTTTCCAAAGCACCCTTTTCTCTGCAATTTTTAATAATTTTATGCTATCCAATGGTCTCTAGTACACTTCCGCAGTCGTGAATCAGACACATTTATGAGTCCGTTTTACTGATAGATAGACTCAAAGCCACCGGCCTGGGTGACCTATTCTTTCCGGAGTTCGAAGGCAGTACCTCATTGTGACTGTGCCTATCTATTCAATACTATGTATAATAGTTAAATTGGGTTTATTTCGGTTTTTTTATGTTTTGGCATCGCCGCTAAGAAATCCAATTAAAATCGAAAAGATGAATCAAAGTGTCATGAAGTGGGAAATGTGGGATTAAAATAAAAAATATATTTTGTTCTATACTAAAAAAAATGTTGGGCGAAATACTTTTTTGATCATAGTAACAAAAGACTGATTGTTACTAAATCTATTTTTTATTTCAGCTGCATTGATAAGGGTACCGTTGGCATCGCTGTCGAGGGCTGCAGGCTGCGCCGGCGCAGATTGCGGGGTGGGCCGCTACATAAACTGGCCCCCGCGCCGCGCGGCCTTCAGTCTCACTTGCAACTTGTTATTGCTTGTACGCCTCAGCAACACCCATTCTCGCGCTGCTTAATCGAGCGTCAACACGCGAGTGTCCAAACGCGCCCTTTCTCTCACGCAGTGTATTCGTGCTTCGGTACGTGAATGCAAAACCGGACTGCTGCCTCGAGAATAGACAACGCCAAGGAACCCGAAATTCGGAACTCTCGTGTCATCCTAAGGGTGAGTACACATTTGTTTTCCGGACGCGAATTTTCGCTGTGCGAGTTGAAATTACGAGTTTTCCGTTCGGGCTGCTTGCAAAATTCACAAAAGTGCGTTGGCGTTTCGAGTCCCTTTCTTTTATCACGTCGGTGCTGCACTTAAGGTTAACAGCTTTGATAGTATTTGTAAATATTCACTGCGGCGAGTCGGACTGTCCGCGCACTGACTTCGTTTTATTTTCCTTTCGAGAAACATTGTACATTTAACATGCCCCGCTGTTAAAAGCGATTCTCGATTCGATGCGTATGTTCGATTCTTTTGTTTGCGCGTTATTTACTGACGACGGGTTGGTAGGAAAGACAAAAAAATATAATACACTCGGTAAACCGTGAAGATCTTCGATAATTATAACAAAATGGCCAACCTCTGCGTAGCACCTTTTCAACAATACGTTTGGTCGCAGAGATTTTTATATCCGTAACTTCGAACTAAAAATATCTATTCCCAAACCGATTATAGAATAATACATAAGATAATATATAATAATAAAGTAATATATTTTTTAAAATAATAATCTATGATGATTATTAATTTAAAAAAAAACAAGTTTCCATTTACGCAATACTTCCTACTTGTTACAGATATCTTTTTTTTTGTTCTGGTTAAAATAAATATTCTGTTTCTGGTTTTCCATTACTATATTTCATTATACGAATAGTCATATATGTTGTTAATTATTCAATCATTTTCAATAGGAAAAAAATACAGCACGAAGTTAAAATGTAAAATGGCGTGTAAAAGTACAGTAAAATGACACTGATGAGCTATTTTGTTGTCAAAGAGAAAAGTATGTTTTAATTTTTCCTATATAGTCATGATAACATATGTAACATGTATTGGCTTTAAATTATAAAGCCTGACTAAGATAATATAGCAATAAAACAACACAATTTAAAATGAAAAAGATTACAAATCTTTTATCTGCAAGTACAAAATTGTCGCCATTAAACAAATATAACATAAAGAACGATTAGTGTCCAATAATCTTGCAAATTGATAAGGTCGTTATTTCTTTCGCTTGCTATTTGCATAGATACAAATTCGAGTTATTCAAATTAATTAATGGCACTTGGAGATAACTTAGTACAATTAGGTTCGTGTTTTGTTGCCATGTAGGTACTTTAAGTATGCTAATAGCAGAAATTTTGAAATATCTTCATGAAACAAGAGAAAATCTATTTATTTCATGCTAACAGGGTAAAGCGAATCTAAAAAACGGGTCCGTAGAAATTATTCCACTATGAAATTAGATTTTTGTATTTTTTTCAATCTTTAGGTTAAGCCAAGTAATGTCTTTCAAAAGATTTAAACACGATCAAGATGTAGACCTCGTCCCGCCGTTTGCAGTTTTAGCATATCTTAAACGGATTTAGTTCGAAGAATACTTAAATAGTGAGTCCATCGCTCTAGTTAGTCTACTCGACTCGTATCCATTTATTTTTCACCACGGATTACTTAAGATGGAAGGGTACTAGTTGAATTTAATTAATATATTCTACCTTTTAAGCGTCAACAACATAAATAATTCAAAGAATTGTTGTCGAAACCAGAAGCAATATTAACATTTATATCAAATGTTTATTATAAATTAGGAAACCGTTACACTGCATTGAAATATACTAAGAATTCCAACTTCTCGGTGTGCTAACTCGTTTGAGACCTAAAGGCAGTCTTGTCTTTTGTAGCACATTGTAAATCCTAGCTTCTAATATGCAAGGGCGCCCCGCGGCGTTGCCCGCGCCATAATAGTCGCTTTAAGACGTAGATTGTAGAATATTATTTAATTAAACAAAAAATTAAAGACTATATAATAATTTATATAACTCAAGAATTTAACTGTCTTCCGGAATAAAGAAGTTCGCACTAAGAACTCACTGAGGAATAGGAATTGAAAAGATTTTGTTTATCAGTCAAGCAGTGGTAAAGAACAAAACATAATTGCATAGAGTATAGAAGTTGATCTAGAGCAGTGACGGCGCATAATTGCATATTTGAAATTGCATAACAATCACTTAACCAATGCAAAAATATCCATTATTTGTTTATTTCTAATGAATGTAACCAGATGTAACTGGTTCGGTGCGGTTTGAACTGTGCTCGTTAGTGTTAGGAAACCAATGGTATATTACATAATTATTGCGTACTAAATGTAAACAATAAGACACATTATTGCTTATTCCAAATAAGCGTTTTAGAATAATATTCCTAATTTAAAATTCATGATTGCGTCTCGTTAAACTTATTTTCCGCACGTGCGGTTCTTCAAAACGACAAACTTTACAGTCTGAGTGTAACAATTGCTTATCTATGCATATTACCTTATGTGGAGCAAGAGATTTCAGCCAAATTGCACTAGCTATTAGATATACAAGGTAAGTAAACATTTTCGGTTTGTCCAAAATTAATTTACACATTCAGTTACATAAAATTCACTTTCTAAATTGAAATCATGTTTTAAATAAACCGTTTCTAAATTCTATTATTTATATAATATTATTCCTGTTGTCTGACCATCATATTGACCTAAGCGATTATATTACTAGAGGTAAAAGATTCGATTTCTTTCAACAACTTCCTTATATAGATAGGGACTTGATCGGGAAAAAACCTTTTCTAATCGAATGTAATTAAAATAATAAATGTCAAAAGTTTTTTTTATTTTGTGGATTCAAATAAAACAGTTGAACGGTTTAAAACGCGATATATATTGAAAGTTATCTGAAAATTATTTTCACAGTCTCCCCGTGGTCACGGCGTCTGCTAAGTTTAAGTAATATTTATCACGTTTTAAACCGATAAAGTGTTAAATTTAAATGTGTACTACTCGCGTAAGCTACAAAATTTTAATTGTAATAAAGTTAATTTATTCCCGTCTCTTCACTGCAATAGATACAACCCAACTCATTAAATATTATTTGTATTCTGGTCCCATTGTAAAGGAAATCGGTTCGCAAAATTTTTAACTCTCTTTTGTAACATCTAGTTGTGACAGACACATACATCAAAGTCAGCGCAATTAAATTCACTTCGAGAGCTACCTTACCAAATATTGCTAAATCGAAAGAGAATATAATTTAACTTACAATAACGCTTTGATAGATTTTTAGGTAACAATCTCGTTGGCAATCCGATTTCGACTCTAAGGGGCAATTGCCAGTAAATAAGTTTTTTTTAGATACAAAAGGATATCAAACGCACTTCAAGACATGTTTATTGATATTATAAGTAACGGAAGACTTAGAAACGAACTAATAAGAACAAAATAGAAGAAATAAAACAGTAATTATATTTTTTTAAAAAATACAAAAAGTATTAACTGTATTTAAATAAAATTATAGTGAAATAGTTTTCAATACATAAGCAGACTAGTTCTACCAAATTGTGGCTTCCCTAATTATATATTCAACTTTTAAATATTCATCTCATTACATTTTGATGTAAAAGAATTACAACGCGCTGTTAGTTTTGTTGCAAAACATTTATCCATCCTAATAGTGTATGAAGTTTAGTAATATTGTTTAACTTTGTAATGGTATTATTAATAATTTTAAATGTGTTTTAAATTCAGAATTTTTTCAGATATTTTTTTTAAACCCCCCCCCCAAAAAACCTGGGGGGGTTTTTTCCCAAAAAAAAAAAAAAAAAATTTTTAAAGGGGGGAAAAAAAAAAAAAAACCCCCCAAAACACAAAAAAAATAAAAAAAAAAAAAAAAAAAAAAAAAAGGGGGGAAAAAAAACCAATAGGCCAAGCTCTTACCAAGTGTTCTAACAGGTTTGTAGCGCTCATTAGATGAACTTATCTTTGCCTTCATTAAGTAAATGTTTACTTTCGTTTCACTTAATTGATATTTTTACTATCATATTTATTGATTAATATTATCAAGGCGAAAGTGTTACTTATGTTCGCTCAAAGTGGAATAAATATTCGCCGCTTACCACTGGGTCCGACTCAGTGGTAAACCGTCGCATTTTATTATGTTATGTCCAACAATTTCAAAATTAGATTTTTTTAAATCGGTCTAGGTACAGGTATGTCACAATCCACTTATCAGTATAAAAACGAGCACAGACTATCCAACTTCAAGAAGAAGAAGAAGTTCGAATTTTGAATCGCGGATATTTCTTGTCGCATCTTATTCTTGATTATTGTTTTAGAGTTTCGAGCGAACTAATGACTTCTGTTGACAAAGTTAATAAAATAAATACCTATAAAAGCCATGTGTCAAGATCACTATTTATTTATTTATTTTAATGATTTTTCTTAACAAGAAAATAGGTTTATGTTAAATACGTAGTATAATTTGAGTAGTACAAATCTATATAGCTTGTTATTATAAGCGCTATTACAAAATGTAAATAAAATCTGCGTGAATGTTTTCTAAACATTGACCTGAATATAAAATACAAAATAGAGTTAACTTTGTATCAATTCAAGGCACGCTGTTGAATATGTTGTTTGGAAGTGGATATTTTTCGCATTGTTGAACAGTGAAATTTTCCCTTCGTTTCGCATTTATCAATCGACAGTTATATTTAATTGTCAATGGTAAAATCTTCCCAACTTCCCTAAAAGTTTTTCGCGCTGCGACTAATGAGAGCGAAGAATAAGCGAGAAATGTAGAGAAAATGGGGGAAAAATATTTATCTTTGTGCCTACGTTGCGAACACAGTTCAAGATACCAAAAAAATATGTATGAAAGAATGATTCCTCTTTTAATGAGCTAAAAAATAGTCCGCGACAATATATGTCTGTCTTTTAATGTTAACTTTCCTGCGACAGGAAGCGACCGACGTCGCCGGTAACAGTTTAAATTTATAAAGATGAAACCTCACAAATTCGGATGCCCAAAATAACTGTTCTACGCTGATGAAGCTTGTTC